TTTGTGCTCATCCCTTGGGTGAAATTTGAACTCACAACCTCCTGACTCATAGCTGAATGAGTTACCTCTGAGTCACGACTAACACTCAAATATATATATTATCATGTCTTATAAATGACAAGGTATCTGGTTCTTATTGACGAGAATGAGAAAGTGTTTCAATCAGCAACATTTTGTACAGTTAATCAATGCAAATCATGCAAATTGTATTTATTTTGCTGAGTACAGATGCTAAATTTAAAAATCTATCTCCTTATCATGAATAATGTTTGTATTGGTATTAACGTCTTTGGAGATTAGTGTCAGGCAGGCATTGAAGAAGACTTGGTGTGCAAGGAGAGGGGTATTGGGTACAAAAGGCATACAGATGTCAGTTTGGACTCCAGAATGGTCAAGCTTCAATATTTTGCACTACATGACTTTCAATAAGTTGTTCTCCAACATTTTCTGCTGAAAGATCAATTTTCAAATGGATTGGTATCACAAACCCCATTTGAATGATAATGTTATACTCCGAATGAACACCCACAATTTTTTAAAAATACTTATAGAGACCAGTTTTACTTGCATATGTCAGTGAGGTGGGTGCAGCTGCAAGTGTCTAGTCTATCCTTGAACATTCCCTACCTATGTGAGAGATCCAGTCCCTCTGCACTGCATATGTGGTAATTACAATCCAGTTCTGCCTTTCAGTTTGCATGTCACACTGTTTTACAGACCTCCAGGAAAATCTATTATGGGTTCTGGTTAGGGAATTACAATCTTAATTGATTAAGAAGGAATAACCTAGATTTTAGATTCAAGTAGGAATAAATTGGAAGCTTTAGCTGCTGCACTTCTATCTCAATACAATTCTCAATCTTAAATGCCATCTCCACTCTGGACTTTCTCTGAAGAACAATCTTGTTTGAAATGTCAATACTGTTTCTCTCCTCTTAAATGCTGCCAGACATGCTGAATATTTTTAGGAATTTTTATTTTTATTTTTGGATTTCTATTCACTTACTGCAAACGCATTTCAACCTTTAAATCTTTTTGTTCAACACAGTTTTCACCTCTAATCCTACTCTTGGACCCCAATCCAAGGTAATTCTGTTAACTTGGTCTAAAACCCAGCCCTAACGCAAACCTCAGGAATTGTTAAATTGGAGAATCCAAGCAGAAATTCACTCTGAACCTCTATTTAATGTTTATTCCTATTAAACCATTTATTATAAATCTACAGTGTTTTTACCAGGTTTCAGAATTTTTGATGAATTTTCTACAGAAAGAATTTGATAATGAGTTACTTTTAGCATACTTTGAGCAAATAATAATTTGAAGGTTTTTTTTGAAGCAGTATCTTGACAAATGATTATGGCTGTGATGAATAGTTTATGGATCATCTCCCAGAAATTAAACAGTAAACGATATATCAACTTGTATGGAAATAGAAAAACATCTCACATCCACTGTCTTAGAGAGACACATTTTAAAACAGGAAGGCTACAAGGGCCGACAGATATTTAATCAGAGAGCTGCAAAACTTTTAGGTAGGTTCAGGATGTTAGAAATACAGGGAAAAATTACAAAACATCAGCTACCATCTTAGCTCCAGATACAGTTCCAGAAGGTGATGAGAGAGGCAGCAAAGCAAACAAGAAGACCCTGGTGTCAAATAATCTCTTGTCATATTGCCAGGTCATAGACTGCATTCAATTTATTATACATTTACAGTGCACTGTATAAAAGCTACAGTCATCCAAATAACTTACATTATTGTGCAGAATATTGTGCTTCTTGTATACATTCGTAATATAAACTAAACAATAGTATGTGCAATCTACATTGTGTATATAATGTTATGCAGTTTGATACGTTTAAAGCTTATGATATTGTCAGGTCCTGTTGTGCAGTATGATATATTTAGAGTGTATGCACTATATACAGCTAGTCCTAATTACGCTGTATATAATGCATACTAGCTGTTATATCATATTTACAATGTATATCGTATCCTTGCTGATCCCTGTTGTGTCACTTGTTTACAATTTGCACTTGAGGTACAAATTTACAATGTATACTACATATTTCCTCTTCCATGCTGTGCAATTTAGACTTTATTGTGCAATATTTACAATTTGTATTAGAATCATAGAGTCATACAGCACAGAAACAGAACCTTGAAGCCAACTCATCTGCGCTGACCAGACATCCCAATGTACTGGTCCCATTTGCCAGCATTTGCCCCCTATACCTCTAAACTCTTCCTATTCATATAGGAATAGCCATCCAGATGCCTTTTAAATGTTGTAATTGTACCCACCTGCACCACTTCCTGTATCAGCTCATTCCATACATGCATCACCCACTGCATGAAAAAGTTATCCCTCAGGTCCTTCCCACTCTCATCTTAAAACTATGCCCTTGACTACTGGACTCCCACACAAAAGACCTTGGCTAGTGACCCTATCCTATAAAAGGTCACCTCTCAGCCTTGACATTCCAGGGAAAAAAGACCCAGCCTCTTCAGCCTTTCCCTATAACTCAAACCCTCCAGTCCCAGCAACATCCTTGTAAATCTTATCTGCACTCTCTGAAGTTTAACAACATCTTTCCTACAGAAAGGCAACCAGAATTTTTCGCAGTATTCTAAAACTGGCCTAACCAATATCCTGTACAGCCATAACATGACATTTCCACTCTTATACTCAATGTTCTGACCAATGATGGCAAGCATACCAAACGCCTTCTTCACCATCCTATCTACCTGCAACTGCATTTTCAAGGAACCTGCACCTCTAGATCTCTTTGTTCGGTGAGACTCCCCAGGGCCCTACCATTAACTGTAAGTTCTGCCAGTTTATTTTCTCAAAGCGCAACACCTCACATTTATCTGAATTAAACTCCATCTGCCACTCCTCAGCCCATCTGATCGTGGTCACGTTGTACTCTGAGATAATCTTCTTCACTGTCCACTACACAACATATTTTGGTGTCATCTGCAAACTTACTAACCATACCTCCTATATTTACATCCAAATCATTTTTATATAAATGATGAAAAGCAGCGGACTCAGCACCAATCCTTATTACACAATGCTGGTCACAGGTCTCCAATCCGAAAAGCAACCCTCTACCACCACCCTCTGCCCCGTCTTCAAGCCAATTTTGTATCTAATTAGCTTGATCACTCTGGATCCCATGCAATCTAACCTTACCAATCAGTCTACCATGCGGAACCTTGTTGAACGCTTTGTTGAAGTTCATATAGACAATGTCTACAGTTCTGTTTTCTTTAATTTTCTTTGTCATCTCTTCAAAAAGACTCAATCAAGTGAGACACGATTTCCCAACCACAGGTACAATATCACAAATCCGCCACCCTTGGGACTGAATCCATTCCAGATTTTGCGTATTGAATCCATAGCTGCAGGGTGTAAAGACAACAATCTCTCTATCAATGTCAGCAAAACAAAAGAACTTGTCATTGACTTCAGGAAGTGGACTGGAGGACACGTCCCTGTCTGCATCAATGGTGCTGAGGTGGAAATGGTAGAGGTTGTCAAGCTCCTGGGAGTGATGATCACCAACAATCTGTCCTGGTCTACCAACTTCGAAGAGATGGTCAAGAAAGCACAGCAAAGTCTTTACTTCCTCAGCAGGCTAAGGAAATCCAGCATGTCCACAAAGACTCTTAACAATTTTTAGAGCTGCACCATAGAAAGCATCTATCTGGATGTATCGCAGCATGGTATGGCAGCTGCTCTTCCAAAGATCGCAAGAAACTAGAGACAGCCGTGAACACAGCACAGTCCAACACCCAAACCAGCCTTTCATTCATTTACTCCATCTACATACGTCCTGCTGCCTTGGGAAAGCAACTAAGACCCCTCCCACCCTCTTCCGTCAGGCAGAAGATATAAAAGTTTGAACAGATTCAAGAATGGTTTCTACCCTGTTAACAGACTTTTGAATGGACCTCTCAAATGTTAATTCTGATCTCTCTCTCTCTGTAGCTGTAACTCTGTATTCTGCATTCTGTTCTGCTCCCCGACGCACTGTCTATGGTACAATCTACCTGTATGTCACGCAAAACAACACTTTTCACTGTATTTCAGTACATGTGACAACAATAAAGCAGTGGTTAGCACTACTGCCTCACAGCGCCAGGGACCCAGGTTCAATTCCACCCTCGGGCGACTGTGTGGAGTTTGCACATTCTCCCCGTGTTTGCATGGGTTTCCTCCAGGTGCTCCGGTTTCCTCCCACAGTCCAAAGATATGCAGGTTAGGTGGATTGGCCATACTAAATTGCCCATAGTGTCTAGGGGTGTGCAAGTTAGACATGGGAAATGCAGGGTTACAGAGAAAGGTGAGGGAGATGGGGATGGGTCTGGGTGGGATGCTCTTCGGAGGGATGGTCGGGCCGAATGGCCTGTTTCCACACTGTAGGAATTCTATGATTTCACCTTGGACTAGTCTGGAATCACACAGTCCAAATGTAAGTAAGTCATCTGGTTAAGTTTATTTTAAAAAATTACAAAACCCAATTAAAATCAATGAGTGGACGATTATACAGATATGCAGTTTTTAGTAGCTTGAATTGAGGTACTTTATGTATACGTATTGGCAATCTCCGGTGTTCGATAATGTATATGCAATAAAAGCAAAATATAGAAATGCTGGAGATACTCAGCAGGTCCAGCAGCACCTGAGGAGGGATCTAACAAAACATTAATCTTTGTTTCTCTCTTCACAGATGGTGCCAGACCTGCTGCGTTTCTCCAGCACTTTTTTCCTTCTTCCGGCACCCGCAAATCCGTGATGTGCATTCTACTTACAATGTAACATACATTTGTCAACCCCAATTGTGCAGTATATTTGCAATCTGTGTTATACACATTAACCCCTCGTGTAATGTAGTGATGATGTGTATTTTATGACTTTTGCTGATCCCTCTTGTGAAATACTACACCGTATCCCCCTCCTTGGTCCAACTGCCACATCACGTGGGGCTGCGCATACGCCCCTGCTCTGTCCCGGCCCGAGATGTTGGGCGGCGCCATCTTGGGGAAGGAGCTGCCGTTGATACCTCCATCCCGTGAATATGAATGATTTCTGAGTACACAGTGTATCAGAATGGAGTGATGGTATGTATAAGTGTCCTCAGAGGATGAGGACTGTATGTGGCATGGATGGGTTCGTGCGTGGTTTATCGGTTGTTCCCTATTGTACGCTCGCTGCATGATTGACAAGGGAAGCCGAGGACAAATCTGCGGCAGCCGTCTCCGCGCGAGCAGGGCGGTGTAGCTCACCGTAACAGTGCATTATTTCACAGGCCAGTAGCTATTTAAACATTAACCTGTTTTAGTTTATTTGCTGCCGGATACCAAAGCACCCGGGTTCATTTTGAATTATTTATAAGTTGATTTGCTGGATGGAAAATCGCCCGAAATGGGAAGGCACCAAAAAGTTCATCAGTTTCTGTTTGCCTTGGTGTCGTTTTGGAATGGTGTTATCCAGGAGACATCACCTCTGATCATTTTAAACAACTGGTGCGAGATGATATCCCGTGATTTATGTTGTATTTTCCCCCACCCAATTTTGATCGGGTTACTTTACAATATTGTATCGGGCAAGGGTAAGGAGAATAATTAAATTTCAAGTTAATTTCTGAAATTGCCTTTGATAATACGACATTAATATCTAATGCTTCCGCATCACAAAGCACTGAAGTAAAGGGAAATTCGTAAACTTATAAAATGCAAAACAGAATCCAAACGACGCACTCAAACTTCCACAAGCGGACAGGTGGCACCTTTATCCCAGCTGCCTCTTTGATGTTCCTCATTAAAAGAGAAAATATAGTTCAGAGTTCTTCTGGAGTCTGAACCCTCGGCATAAAGTAGCAATTATAGTTCATTTGGGTTGATTTCTTCACATTGTATTTACACGCAGTACCTTTCACGTTTGATTTTGTAGCGTTGTCATTTGCAGTGGGGTTTGAATAGGACAGAAAATGCAGTAATTTGGAACCAAAAGTATAATGTACTCTGCAAGTAAAATCTGTGATTGAAACGTCTAATTAATTTTAAGTAAATATTTCTTTGTATACTGCTAGGCTGTGTCGTAAACAGCAACTGACATTTGAAGGAATATGATAATTTTGACAGTTATACCCTAATTAGGCCAACCTGCAGATCAATTGATTTCCCAAAATAATTGCCTTATTATGTATCATGGCAAACTACATTCGTGCCTTTTTCATTGAAGGTTTATCGACAACATAGACATCAGACTAGAGACAACATGAGCACATAATGTCTTGCTCTAGCTATTTTATGGGGAAATATAGCTCTTAGATGATCTCAAAGTTCTGTCATTGCCATGTCTAAAACAAGTGCAGGTAGTACGTCAATGGTCCTAAACCTTGTATTAATGGTCACAACTTAGTAAATCAAAATAACATTTTAACCAATCTACCCACTTAGTGCTGGCGTCAAGGCATGGGTAAATTCTGCACAATGAAAAGGGGGTCACTACTAGTGCATTCATCACAGGGTTAAAGCACCTTTTAAGTAGTGTAATCTGTTTAGATTTATCATTATCTTCATCTTCCTCACGTCATTTCAAAGACCATGCCTGTTCACTGTTAAATTCACCATATCATCATACTCAAGTCATATCTAAAGCACCTATTAGCTTTTCTTAGGAATTCTCAGGACTTATTTATCACTGTTACTTTTTAATTTTCTGCTAATATAAGTAGATTTGCTATATATGTTTTCATAACTGCATGTTTTCAGTCCTTCAGTTGTACTGGTGCCTATGATTGTGTTTGGACTATATTGAAACCTGATAACTATCAAGATTTTTCACTCCTTGTGTCATAGTAAAATACTTAATTTGTTCCATGAAAGCTGAAGGGAATAACTTTGCTCAGATTTTTTGAGATCCGTTCAACAATTAGAACCAGTCGTTTGTCTGTAAAAGATACTGAGCACAATGTAGTAATCTGGCATCCTAAATTGAACATTTTTAACCTTTTGTATCATTTTTAAAATTTAATTATGTATTCTTCCATAGATTATCTATTCATTTCCAAACTCGATCAAGTACGAACCAGGCCTTGTAGAAATTTAACAATTTGTTTCACTTGTAGGTTCTATCCAGGAATTCTATTGAATCCAAACCTTCAAGGGTTAATGACTCATCTCTTTGATAATGCCTTCCTTGTAATTTTACTTTGTGCAGCAAGCTGTAACACCAAGGCCACATCTTGTTTTCTTTTTGCTGCATTCTGTGTCCACATATCCCTTCCATTCTTCATATGGCTCTAACTCCAAAACATCAAAGGCTAATTGTACTCCAACAACAATAATTTTGATTTTTGAAATTCTCTACAATAAACCCCTAGGATTTTAGTTTTAGGCCCAAGAAAATGTTGTAGTTCTCAAACTACACTTTTTTGATAACCATCCAGTGGTACCATGTCAATTCAAGAGAAACAGGCATTTTAGGTGAAAGCACAGGAGCCTGGTCTTTGCAGACAAATAAGCTTTTACTTCTAAAGATACAGATTACACATTGTCTGCCTCTAATCCGCACTGGTACTTAGAGCCCATTATATCTGAGCACAGGGTGCAGTTCCCCCAACTAATCCACAGGGATTGATGCTGGGTCCATGTTTGTTTGTCATTTATATAAATGATTTAGATGAGATTATAGAAGGCATGGTTGGTAAGTTTGCAGATGACACCATGATTGGTGGTATAGTGGAGGGTGAAGAAGATTAACTAAGATTACAAAGAGAACTTGATCAGTTGGGTCAATAGGCTGAAGAGTAGCAGTTGGAGTTTAATTTGGATAAATGTGAGATATTGCATTTTGATTAAAACAAATAAGGGCTGGACTTATACAATTAAATGTAGGGCCTTGGTTAGCGTTGTAGAACAGAGACCTAGTGGCTCAGGTACATAATTCTCTGGAGTTTGCATCACATATAGATAGGATGGTTATGAAGTCATTTAGCACGCTTTCATTCGTTGCTCAGACCTTTGAGTATAAGAGTTGGGATGTTATGTTGCTATTTTACAGGAGATTGGTGAGACCTCTTTTTGAATACTGTGTCCAGTTCTAGTCGTCCTGTTACAGGAAGGATATTATAAGCGGGACAGGGTTCAGTAGAGTTTTTCCAGGGTGTTGCCAGGAATGGAGGGTTTGAATTATAAGAAGAGGCTGGATAGGCTTGGACTTCTTTAACTGCAGCATAGGAGGTTGAGGGGTGACCTTATAGAGGTTTATAAAATCATGAGGGGTATAGGTAAGTTGAATGGCGGGTATCATTTCCCTAGAGTGGGGCATTTCAAGATTGAGGGTATATTTTTAAGGAGAGAAGAGAAAACATTTTTTCAAAAAATGTTATGAGGGGGAATTTCTATACACAGAGTGGTTCGTGTGTGGGGTGCACATCCAGAGGAAGTGGGGGATGTGGGTACAGTTACAATGTTAAAAGACATTTGGATAAGTACATGAATAGGAAATGTTTGGAGGGATATGGGCCAAGCTGGTACTAGTTTTAGTTTGGGATTAAGGCCGGCATAGATGAGTTGGACACAAGGGTCTGTTTCCTGAATTTATAAATAATTAACGGAGGGGTTCTTGTGGCACAGTGGTGGTGTCCCTACTTCTGAGACGGAAAGTCCAGGTTCAACTTCCACCTGCGCCAGAGGTGTGTAACAATATCTCTTGTGGCACAGAGGTTGTGACCCTTCTTTGGACCAGGAGGCATAGTTTCAAATCCAACCTGGCAGCGTTTGATAACGTGTCCAAATAGTTCAATTAAAACTATATGTAACTAAAATGAATAGCGGTTTTCAAAACAGACATTAAACATAGCATGTCTGACAGTACTGTTGTCCCTCGGTACTGAATACGAGTACCTGTCTTACGTATTTAAATATTTAGCTTGGAGCTTGGTCATGTGACTGTTTGACAAAGGAAAATGCTGTGTCAGGAGTGATGCTATCAGGAGTTTGATGGGGGTAGGGCAGAGAATTGAAGAAAGGAACATGGAAAGAAAATTTAATATTTTAATCTCATTATCTAAAATTGATCTGAGAAAATAAATGGATCAGTTTTACAGCAAGATAGAGCCCTTAACACAAGTCTGCTGTCTTCTTTCAACCATGTGCCGGAACTTTGCCGGCACTGACTAAATATCGCTGCAATCCTAGACTCAACTCATTTCTCAGCCAATTAGAGGTCCTAAAGATGTTGACTTTACCTGCAATATCCAAGTCTCAAGAATTAATTAAATAACATATTTCCGAGTGTTGATTCCACGAACAAAAATGTCAGAATAACAATAAAACAGGTATGTTTTTAAAATAGTAGTTTTCAATATTAAAGAATAATTATTATATTAGAAATAAAGTAAAAAGACAAAATAACAGAGGGAATGATAAAGAAAAATCTAATCAAAATTTTCAAAATAACCCTTCTCTATCTAAATTTGGGCATTTGAAATGACACCTTAATTATGTGCAGTTTGTATTACAATAAGAAAGCGAATTGTGACACTGGGGTGGCTTTCTTTGCCCTGGATATCTGTGTTCATCTACTTCAGGCCTCCTAAGCTGTCTGGTTTCTGTTGTTCCATCATAAGTAACCATGCATCCAGTTATCTAGTTCCTAAGCTTTGGAAATTCCACGCTACATCTCAATTCCTCTCTGCCTCATTTTCCTCTTTTGAGATACTCCTTAAAAACTATTTGTTTGTCTAAACTTTTCTTCATCTGATCTAAATCTTGTGTGACTTCATATTTCATTTTATAATGTTCCAGTGAAGTCCCTTGGGACATTATATTACATTATTATAAGTTGTTATCGTACTTTTGTTGCAGGGGTATGTATTTGAGTTAAGAAAATTTAGTCAAAGTTGCTTGTCATTGGAGTAATTCATTCCATTTAGTGTGGGGAGCTGGTGACTAGGGGATTGACTCATTGGTCTTTGCTTATATTCACATTTGAAGTTTATAGTTGCTCATGGAGCCATTTTAGCAATCTTTGTACCTTGAATTGCAGGACAACCCTTATCAGTTCAAATGTTACATAACCAATACTTCACTGTTTCATCTCTTAGTGAGTTCTGTGCCTTGTGTTTGATGTCTGCTCCAATCTGGAATAGAACAAAGTATTCCTGCATGAAAGTAACAGAAACTGGGATGGCAACATCAGCTAAAGGCTGAAAATGGAAGAAACCGAACCTGATGAAGTGGATAAACTGAAGGCGAAGTTTATGTCAGCATGGCACAATATGAAGTACAGTAGGTGTTGTTTGTACACTTTCAGAGTGAATAGAGTAAGCATACACCTGAAACTAACAAAAGGCTGCTAAATTTCAAAGGAAGTGCTCGTGTTAAAAAGTACAAACCAGCTCTACCAGTGACATGTGTAAGCCATGCATATGGGACAGTACCACATTTGATCTCTGATCTGGTTTAAATTTGCTGTTTTGTGGTGGTACAGTTAGCCTCAGCTGGGGAGAAGGGTAGCACTTTTTCTCTTGATCTCGCTTCACTGACTGCTATTGGAAGTCATATTTGTTGAATGAGAATAGAATTGGACTTGCTGTGATGGTCTGTATGGTTGAGTAAGCTATCTTGTAGCATAATTCACAGGATAGGAGGTCATTCAGCCCAGTGACTTCATGCCAGTTCCCTGTGGAGCAATCAAGGTGCTCCCAGTAGCAATCTATTTGTTCCGCATAGCCCTGCAAGCTTATTTCCTTCAAGTGCCCATCCAATTTCCATTCAAAATCATTAACTGTTTTTCCTTCCACCACCTTCGTAGACAACAAGTTCTTGGTCTCTACCTTTTAAAAAAAAAGGTTCCTTACACTCCCCTGCTTTTCTTGCCCAAAATCTTAAACATGTGTCCCTCTTGTCCTTCTGCACTTAGTTAATGGGAAGAGTTTTTACTTGTGGTACATTATCTCAACCTGTCACGATCTTCTACACCTTTATCAAATCTCCTCTCGATCATTTTTAAATAACTCCAGCCTTTCCAAACTAAACTTGTAAGTAAACAATCCCTGTCCCTGAGACCAGTGCTCCTTCTAAGTTTTGTGGCCATGCAGCTGTTCCAAGGTTTTCTGCATGCTGATCTGAGTGCTGATGCATTGACTTCCAGGTTCAGAAGCCACTGCTGTGCGGGGACCTCGGAGGTCTGTACACCAGAAATAAACTGGGAGCTAGAATAGCCTGGCACCATTCTGATAAATCTCCTCCACATTCTCTCAACACCTTCCCTGCTTTCTTAAAAGGTGGTGACCAGAACTGGATGCAGTACTCTGACTGGGACCTAACCAGACATCAACTTCTCTGCTTTTGTACTCAGTGCCACTGTTTCAGTATTTTTGAAGCCCAAAATCCCTTGTGCTCACCTAACTATTCTCTCAATATGTCTTGCCACTTTCAAAGAGCAATCTACATACAGCCCCAGGTTCCTCTGCTTCTGTGGGCTGCTTAGAATTGACCTATCAAGGCTACGTTACTTCTCCCATCCCTTCTATATAATGCATACCTCACACCATCTACTAGAACTCACTGCTTTCTGTTCTAAAGCCAATTTTGTTTTAATTAATTTACATACTGGATCTCCTATTCTATAAGTAAGTTTTTAACCCACCCAGCTTTTTCTATGTTAATAAAAGCAAAGAACTGCAGATGCTGGAAATCTGAAATAAAAACAAAGGGCTGGAGAAACTCAGCAGGTCTGACAGCATCTGTAGAGAGAAAAAGGAGAGTTAATATTTCGAATCCAGTGACCCAGAATTTTTGACAGAAAGTCAAAAGCTGGACTCGAAATGTTAACTCTTTTTTTTTTCTCTGTTGTGGTTGCCAGACCTTTTAAGTTTCTCCAGTACTTTTTGTCTTTGCCTGTTATTGGCTATATTTGCTTGCATTTTCTTAAAATCCATACAGACAGCAGCCACCACATTCTGTTCATCAACCTTCTCTGCTACTCATTAAAAAAATTCAATTAGATTTGTGAAGCAAGATCTCGCTATTATGAACGACCAGTTGGAAGTGAAACTGCATAGTGACTGGCACTAATGGAACTGGATCTCGGCGTAACCCAACACCATTAGAAGGGGAAAGGAAATCAGTGTGTGGTGACAAAATCAATAAAGACTCCACTAATTGAGACCATGTTGATGCATGAACAATCTCCCCTCTGGCATGAATATTTACAAGCTTAAACCCTGTTTCAAGACTTGAGTGCATCCAGCCCGATACTTCAGTCTGTACAGAGGAAATGAGGTATTGTTGAAAGTCCTCTTTCAGATGCATCATTAAATGGAAACTTTCATTGCCTAAGCGGCTATTCGGCTGCTAATCCCTTATTTATTGTGAGGGGAATTGAATACTAAAGTAGGGAGAGTACTGGTGAGATCACATCGAGGCTACAATGTACAATGTTTGTTTCACTATTTAGAATTGGGCATAATGGCGTTGGAGTTAAAATTGTTTCAGAGATAGTAGGAACTGCAGATGCTGGAGATTCTGAGATAACAAGGTGTAGAGCTGGATGAACACAGCAAGCCGAGCAGGAAAGCTGACGTTTCGGGCATAGACCCGAAACACCTTGTTATCTCATAATTGCATTGGAAGCAGTTTAGAGCAGGTTTTCCAGACTAGTACCTGGAATGGGTAGTTGACATACGAAGAAAGGTTAGAAAGGCTAGGCTTGTATCCATTGGAGTTTAGAAGAGTAAGAGATGATTTGTTTGAAACATAAATGGTTCAGAGAGGACTTGACAGGATGGATGGTGGAATGAATCTGGAACTGGGGATGACTGTTTCAGGACAGAGATGAAGAGAAACTTTTTCTATTAGATTTGTGAATCTTTGGAACTTTCTCCTTCAACAGACAGTGAAAGAAGAATCCTTGAAAAAAATTACAGCAGAGGTATACAGATACTTGATAAGCAAAATGTGAAAGGTTATTCAGGTAGGCGGGCTGTGGAGTTGAAATTAAAATCTGATCAGTCTTGATCTTTTTGAATGGCAGGGCAGGCATGAAGGTCCGAGTGGCTTACTCCTGTGCCTAATTTACATGAATATAAAACAATCCTGTGGAACTCTTCAAAAAGGAGCGGTAGTGTTCTCCAAGAGTATCAACTAAGATTTCTTGCCCAAAATAAACTGCATAAACAAATGATTTGTTTCATTGCTCCTTGCGAAATCCAGATCCCGTAATTCACTGCCATATTTGCTTTCAAAGCAATATTACCTATTTTCAAATGTGATAAAGCGGCTGTGAAGATCTTTGGGACATCTTAGGGATGTGAAAAGTACTTGAGATAAACCTGGCAACCACAGATCACTGGGCCTACTGTTAGTAGTGGGGAAAGTTTTAAAAATATTAATTCAGAACAAAATTAATTGGCATTTTAAAAAGATGTGATTTGATTAATGAAAATCAACACAAATTTGTGGAAGGCAAATCACGCTTGGCTAACCTTTGAACTAATGGAGAGGGTTGATGAGTGTCATTCAGTGATGTTGTGTTATACAGACAAATATCTTTTGATAATTTGATAATAGGTGTATTAGTAAATTGAAACCCCCAAAATTAAAGGAACAGTTGCTCTATTGATACAAAGTTGACTTAGGAGCAGAAAGTGGTAAATGGTTAACTTACAATTTGTCACTTGGCACAATTTGCTAGAGGCCACTTGTGGGTGACTGCTCTTTTTAACATTGTGGTGATCTAGACTTAGGCATAATTGCAAACTTTGCAAATTACACAAAATGTCACGAATGTAATGTCCTATACAACTGGACCCTCAAGTTCTTTGGACCTCCATTGTTTCTAACTTTTCATTATTGAGAAAGTATCCTGTTCTAGTTGTTTTGGATATAAAAACAACTTTATATACCTGCTTTAAAATCCATTTGCCACAGTTTATCATCTACGAGTCTGGATATGTGACTTTCCATCCTACCTCCTAAGTTAGTGATTTTTGATGGTTTTTCTAAATTAAATAAGGAACAACTGTTTCCTGTGACGGGGAAGTTGGTAAGCAAAGAGTGCAGATTTAATCATTAAACAATAAGGGAGTGAAGATGCCAAAGGAAAACGTTGTTACACAGTGACTTGTAGTCTGGAATGCACTGCCTGACAGGGTAGTTGAAACATATTCAACAATAACTTTTAAAGGGGAATTTGAAGGAGAAACATTTGCAAGGCTTTGGGAAAGTGGAGAGGAGGACATCTGATTGGATAGCTCTTTAATCAGGCTATTGAAGTTCCAAAGGCCGCCTCCTTTGGTAAATATGCAATACTTTTTCACCACACTGCTATTCTGTAACTAAGTGAAGTTGATTACTTCTGAAATTCAGATTATTGTGAAAAGTATTTTGGAATGAAATAAAGTTCTGATGCTGATAAATTTATTCTGTAACATCTGTTGACAAAAGACCTTAATCATCATAATAGAGTTTATAAAATTCATGGTATTTCAAATTTGGATGTAATGTGTTTGTAAAAATATGTTTTTAATATGGCACAGATTTGTCTACCAATACTTTTACACAGACCAGGGATAGAAACTGGCCTGTGTGACTCATTACTTGCTCGATAGCGCAATTATTAGCTAAGACCTTAGGAACAATGAACAAATATTTGCTTGGAAAATGCAAGTTCTATTGTGTAATTAAGCTGAATTTTGTTGTATAGTCAGTTTACTTTGAGCACATCTGAAAATGTTGATGGTGTCAACACTTTAATGAGCCATATACCTTCTCTCATCCTATCAGCAAAGCCAATTTTATACTGCCATGTCTAGCACCAGTGCCACCCCCACACACAATTGCATACTTTAATGAAATCTAATTTCTTCAGATGCTAACTGTGCAGCTTTTTGCCAAAGGCGGTTTTATTTAAAGAAAGTTATAACAATGGGCTTCTGTATTCTGTCTGTCAGTGAAGCTTTATGGGTCATTCTGGAAGTATTAGAAAATGCCCCATGAACTGCTTTGTAGTGCAAATAAAACTTTTCTCTGCTTTCTATTCCTTCAGGCTGGGTTGTGAGAACCAAAACAAATTTTAGCAGAAATTCGCCTGTCTTTTTGCTGGGAAAATGCTATCATTTCAAGTCAGAGGGTATGTACAAGTACTTTTGATTTTTCTAAAATGCTTCACTCATTTCAGTTCATAATTTGAGGAAGGGGAGGTTTTGTGGTTTTGCATTGTTATTTCCCTTCTGGGACTAAATTTGAGTATAATGGGTTGAAATAAAAATAGCTAATATAAAAGGCAGCATACAACTCAGCCTCCAAAAGAGCAAGATGACCTGATAGGCATGGATCTCTGAGAAGTAGGTGACCTGAAACATTGGCGCACCAATTCTGCCTTCTATATTCACTCAGTTCCTAGCATTTTCTGTTTTCTTTATTTGCCTTTATAACATGCAGAGTTTCTCTTTTACCTGTGGAATGAAAAGTCAGTTCACTCCTCTGGATATTAAATTGTATCTGCAACAAGCTGGAAAGCAGCAATCCATTTCCCAAAGTTCACCAACATGGCCTAAGTTGTTGTTCTTGTTGTCTGGTGAACATGGTTCCATTTTATACAAAGGTGCTTCAAGATGTTGACAGTTTCTCATGTTGTAGCAAGGGTTTATTTAATCCATTTCTGGTAGTTAAAACTGGCAATACAATGCACAGAAACATCTAAGGTAGACTTGAAGACCAACAGATTTGATTTTGGAGTCATTTTAAAACTACAGACATTTCCTGACATCACTTTCTTCTAGTTGAGTGTAGGAAGACAGCTTTATTGAACTGAGTTGCACTTTAACAATAGATTAACATATTGAGTGATGTACAGCATCGAATACCATAGCAGAGGAAAATTTGATTTAACAGGATACAACATACTGTAACAGCTTGTGTCTGCTTAGTACTTTGTAGTAAACCTAGATGCTTCGCAGTTTCATTATCAAACAAAATTTGCAATAAGGAGGAATATTGTGCCCAATTTAAAAAAAAGTATAGTCATAAAGGTGATTGGTTTTAAAAAGCATCCGAAGGGAGGCAGAAATCTTGAGAGGCAATTTCAGTGTTTGAAGCCTTGAGCATGACTCCCAATGGTGTTGCAATGGTGAAGCAACAAAAAGATTGCAGAGAGTGATAAGGCTGGAAGAATCGCTAAACAAGAATCGAAATTTTAAAATTGATGCTTTACTTGACAGGGAGCCATTCTTAATTGATGGTAAATGAATAGGACATGGAGAGTAGAGTTTGGATGAATTCAGGTTTATGGAGGATAAACATGATGGGGCAGGCAGGATAGCATTGGAATTGTTATGTTTGGAGATAATGGTTGAAACTTTTAGCAGCATATGAGGTGAAAAGGGATAAGATTGTACAATGCCATGGAGGTGGAAATAGGTTCCCAAAGCAATAGTACAGATTGGAAACATGGCTGCAATTTAAATGTAATACATTTGTTCCAAATAGGCTGGTTCAACCTCTGATTTTTGCAAGGGAGAAGAATGGAGTTGGTGGCAAAGGAATTTGATTTGTGTCAGGGAAAACTAGACCATTTGACACTTAAAATTGCAACTATTGTTGATACGTAGACAAATGTATTAAGAAATGAAAGCTACCCCTGACTTGTGAAAGTCAAACCATGTTTGAGTAGCTATTGATAAACTAATGGAGTGGGTTAGGGGGCTAGTGCAACTTGTGTTGTACAGATTTTCAAAAAACACTTGATAAAGTATGATGATATAATAGACTTGTTAACAAATTTTAAGTCTGTTGGATTAAAGAGGCAGCTATTCTGTTGACAGAAAATTTGCTAAGGACAGAGAGTAGTGGTCAAAGGCTGTCTTCCAATTCGGAGGGAGATGTGAAGGGGAAAATTCCTTGCTTTTTTTTAATAGTATCCTGTGTTCTTTAAAACCCACCAGAACACATTCAAGTTCTCATCTGAAGGATACGACATCCAACAATGCAGTGTTTCCTCAGTACTGTGTCATGGGCAAAGATTATGGGCTTAGTTGTAGGAGAAAGATTTGTTTAAAGTGACTGTATTACTGACTGAGCCATGCTGAAATGAAGTGATCTCATCAGATGAGAGAATAGGTGGCAATGATCCATTGGTTCAGTTTTGTTTTGTTTATTCATTCATGGGATGAGGGCGTTGCTGGCCAGGCCAGCATTTATTGCCCATCCCTAATCCCTGAATCAGTTCAAAACTTTCAAATATTATTCAAGGAAACATCTGATGATTATTGATGTATTTTGTTTTTATGTTTTGAAACTGCCTAGGAATAGATAGTATGTGTAAAACTCTCAAATTTGGTTTTTCTTCAAAATAAACTTTAAAACATTGACATTACACAATCTCAAATTGCTTACAGTGCTTTGAAAAATTGTTGCTCACTTGTGAAAGCTTTACCCATTTGCGTATTGTATCACTGAGAGGCAGTTGATCTATAATAACCTTTTGCTCTAAGTATTACTTGATTTTAAATCTCTTTTCAGGAGATTATTATTTGAAGAATATTTGTTCATTTTGTAAGAACATAAATAATGTTAGTGGGTTTTTTTAATAGTGCAGTACCTCATTCTTATCATTTGGTGTCACTGCAATCAACATTTAGATTAAAATATGTTGTGGTACTTAACTCTTAGCCACTGAGTGGCATTGCAGGAAATCATGTTGTGTGCAGCAATGCTTTACAGTGCTATCCAGTGGCTGGTACTGAATATCATATTATGACTTTTGATATCCAGTATAAGAATCAGGCATTATATACATGAGGAATTTGTAACCAATAAAAATGACTTTTAAGGGTGTAGAGGGGTTTTAACATTTTCTTTAGGGAAAAAAATTAGAACTTTTGGAAAAAAGTACAATTAGAAAAGCAGAATAATTTCAAAAGTCAATTGGATGGCTACTTGTGGAAAATAAGCCTGCTGGGCTCCAGAAGTACAGCAGTGTAATGAAACTGATTGGATTGCTGTGTGAGAGTTAACATTAAATTAATGGGTCAAATTGCTGCCTTCTGCACAATGAATCTCAGTCTTTGAAATCAGAGACAGAAGTCTGTGATTCAGAATTTCCAGCCTTTGACCTGTCTTGTAACCACAATATTTATTTGTTGTCCAGATCTTGTTACGGGCAGCCATTGCCTGCTTCATTATAGAGTTGCTGATGGAACAATCAGTGACCATGCCCAATTCTGATAAATGAAGAGTCATTGGTAAGGCAGCTAAAGATTATTGGGCGTTGGCATAACCCTGAGGAACTCCTGATGTCCTAGAGCTGATACTATTGTCGTCTAATAGCTACAACTTGTTGACTTGATATTAGGTGTGATTCCAACAAATGGTTAATTTTCCCCCATTCCCATTAACTTTCAATTTTGTTGAGCTGCTTGGTACCATGCTGGATTAATTGTGCTTGGTATCAAGGCTAGTCACTCTCCCCTCACCGATTAAATTTACTGAGATTTGAAACCATATAACCTTGCTAAAACAAACTGAATATTGGTGTATAAGTGTCACTTGACACCACTGTTGAAGAAAATCTTCCATTACTTCGAAAATTGAAAGTAGACTGATTGGATGATAATTGGCGAATTGGATTTGTTCAACTTTTGTAGATGAGATGTACCTGGACAAGTTTGCACATTCAGATAAGTACAAGTTTTTGTATGTAATGTAATAGCTAATTCTGGAGAATAGATCTTCATCACTATATAGCTGGAATGTTGTCAGCCTAGCACCCTTTGCTGTATCTAATTCTACTAGATATTATGTTAAATTAATTGAAATGGCTGTAGAGGACCTGCAAATGGGTAGCTCAAGATGAGATAGAAAAGGGTAATCCATTTGACATTCTGGCTGAACTTGGTGACAAATGCCTCAGCAATGTTTTTACTTGCATGCACATATCAGTAATCTAAATGATGTATTTTCTGAAGTGGGGTGCAAGTACAGGGAAATCTATGGCTACATGTTCAAAATCTTTTGAAGGCGACATGGCAAGTTGATAAAGTATTTAAGAATGCATGTGTAATACTAGGCTTTGTAAATATCAACATCAAATTTAGAAGCAAATAAGTCATGATGAGCTTCTATGAATCTTTGGTTAGACCTTATACTGCTGTGTATAATTTTGACACCCTACTTTACAAAGGTCTAGAAGAGGATAAAGCATGACATCAGGGATGAAGGGCTAAAGTTATGTGGCAAAGTTCACAAAACTGACATTGTCCTCCATTGAATAGAGGGGTCGAGGGGAGATTTTTATGAAATATTCAAAAATGTGAGAAATTTTGATTAAGTATGTAAAAACTACTTCCTTTGGTGGATGGACTGGCAAGAAGCCATAGATCTGAAATAATTGGCAATGCAAATAGAGATTTGGCAAGATCTGGAGCACACTGAAAGTGTGATGGATTCTGTGAAAATAAGTTTTTCCTAATAGCCAATCTAATCCTGTTTTCACAATTTTTACAGTCGCACTCCAGTGGTAGCTCATTTCTTTAGTTCAAATAATCTATCCACTTGAACAAAACATAATTCCTTCATTATTTTGAAAACAACAATCATGCATTTTCATCTTTTCAAGCCCACTCTGATAAATAAATGCTCTTGAACTGGAAACCAACACCTTCACAAATTAGCTATTGCATTTTCCTAAAATACAGCATTGACCACTCTTCAAAATTAACTCCTTGGCCACAAACACTTTGATGTCCTTAGCCTAAGCACACATACTGTACCGAAAAGCTGCAGTCACTTTCTTTCTGTTCATCTTCTGTTTTAGTCATTCATTCTACAATAGGGGAAGGAAAGTCTTGAGAGATAATACTTTTGTTTTGAAGTATACCCCCAATGTGTGCCTTTTGTTGTTTTTAAGTCAATTTTCTGCCTAAACAAGAGAGGGGAAAAATGCTTAACCTTTGAATTGCTTAAATGGTGCTCTTGATCTCCAGCAGCCGGCTGTTTCTTAAAGCCAGCCAATTAGCTGCAATGAGGCTTCAATGACAGACATAGCAGAGGACCACCCTACCCACTCACCCACCCACCCACCACTGCCTCCAGGTTTTGCCGGCCAAGTAGTTTTCAGTCAATTGTAGTTCAATTATAAGTAAATGTGGAATAAGAGAATGCACTTTGACACATCAACTTCACGCCTTTCACAGACCAGATACAATACACTGATACTCAGATTCTCCAGCATCGGCAGTTCCTATTATCTCTGTAACAATACACCCTGCCACAGCTTCTTTCTAACCTATGTAGTCAGTTGATGGAAGTTTCTGCATAAGTAGCCCTAGATCTCCAAAGATAATCAAGTAAGTCTCAAATGTTCATCTCATCCCCATTCTCAACCATTCAACCCTTGCTTGCACTCCTCCCCAGGCAGAACAAAATACCTTTTCTCTGTCTGTCAGTTTAAGTAAATGCTCGAAGGGATTTTTAAAAAAATATTTTGCTTTTTGCATTTTCTAGGAGTGGTTGAAAGTGCATCAGGTTGCAGAGATGCAGCTACAGACTCAGAAATGGTTTTGTGTAATGTGAATCAATTCCGTAAAGACTTCATCACTAGAATCTGGCTAACGTATCGCCGTGAGTTCCCGCAATTAAAAGGGTGTACACTTACAACAGACTGTGGCTGGGGCTGCACACTGAGATCTGGTCAAATGCTGTTGGCCCAAAGCTTTCTGCTCCATTTTCTTGGACGAGGTGAGTTTGTTTTGTTCTGATGTAATTGGTAATAAATTTTATAATGCTAGTTCAGTTATGCATTAAGATGCTTAGAGGATGAATTCAGTGAATCTTATTTGAGCCTTCACTTGACCATTATGCTGTGCTATATTGGTCTGCATTTGGATGGTGATGGTGTTACAACATTTGACTACTGAAAGGAAGAGTTAATTGCAAATCACTATCTGGTGACCACATTGGAAATTCATGTGTTTAGTACAGCAAGCAAACACAAGGTGAGGTTCTACAATGAAGAATGACCATTGGGTGATATACCAGAAGGCACCAGGCATTTGTGCGACCATGCCCTAGAGAATCATCGCTTTCAAAGGGTAAATTAAATAACAGGAAAGTAAAGTACCGTTAATGTCTATTTACAGTAAATAGTTGTAACCCTTTTATTCGACTGAAAGACATTGTAAATGAGTGTGTATAACTTTTAACATGTTCTCCCCAAAGCTCTGCACTTCCCCCATTGCATTCCTCAGAGATCAGATGAATGACCTGGTTCAGTACCTCTCCCAGTGCTAACCCCACCGTTGTACTTAGCAAGAATATTAAACTGCATTGAAAAGTGGAGAATCCAGGCAGATTGTTCCTATTTTTCTGAGGACTGAGAGACTAATTGAGATGCTGCTAGTGCATGCTTGATAAAATTAATTATCTCACAATTGAGTTACAATGAAACACCAGTGTTTTGTCCCACTGCGACATCAGTTTCCTGTGCCATGAAGAGAATCTCTGATTTTTTTTGAACAGTCTAATTGATGGGTTATATTCCCTTGCAGATTGGCTCTGGCCAGATGCACTTCAGATGGTTGCCTTAGAAACTGAGCTATTCAAAGCCAAGCCACCAACAATGAATGATGATGTTGCAGATTTTACCTTCCTGCCACCTTTAGAAAGTCCACTACAGGATATGAGTGAACAGCTGGGCTTATCAAGTAATGAGAAACAAACACTAAAGTTAAATCCTGGTAATACAGCAAATGAGGATGAGAAGTTCCATCGGAAAATAATTTCCTGGTTAGCAGACATCCCAGCAGCTACCTTTGGAATGCATAAACTGATAGAGTTGGGAGAAAATTCTGGCAAGCGAGCTGGGGATTGGTATGGCCCAGCTGTTGTTGCCCACATTTTAAGGTAAGTGGACATTAATTTTTTTTTATTGACATCATAGGAACATAGGATTCCAGAACAAGAGCAGGCTATTTGGTCCTTCAAGTCTGCTCTACACTTTAAATAAGATCATGACTGTTCTGGTTGTGGTCTTAACTGTACTTCCTATCTGTGCCTCAAAACCCTTCACTCCCTTGTCCATGAAAAATCTAAGTCTGTCTTGAATAAGTTCAATAACCCAGCCTCCATTACTTCCTGTGAAAGAGAATTCCACATACAGACATGTTCTGAGAGAAGAAATCTCATCTCAGAATTAAAAGGGAAACCTCTTATTCCTAAACTACATCCCCTAATTCAAGTCACCCTGACAAAAGAAACATTCTCCCTGTATCCACTTTATCAAGTCTCTTTGGGATCTTATATGTTTCAAACAAAAACTACAACGCTTGACAACATGAAAATTGCTCAGGGATACTCTGTATACACAAAGCTGGTTCAGTCCAGCTTGGCCAATTACTCAGTGGAGTGATGGGGAGTTCATCAACAAAGCCATCAAGCAGAACCTACTTAGCAATAACCTGCTCACTGAAGTTTAGTTTGTGTTCCACTAAAGCCTTTGGTCAAACATGGATAAAAGAGCTGAACTCTGTAGGAGAGGTGAGAGTAACTGCCCTTGACATCAAGGATGCATTTGAGTGAATGAGGCATCACGACGTCCTAGCAGAAATACAGTCAATGGGAATTGAGGAGCAAACATTCTGCTGGTTCGAGTCACACTGAACACAAAAGAAGATGGTTAAAGTTGTTGGAGGTCAACCATCTCAGCTCAAGACATCTTTGCAGGAGCTCTGCAGGTTAGTCTCCTAGCTCCAACCATCTCCAGCTGTTCTATCATAAGGTGAGAAGTGGAGATGTTTCCAGTTGTTTGCAGAAAGCTGAATACCGTTTGCAACTCATCAGATACTGAAGCAGTCCATGTCCAAATGCAGCAAGATTTGGACAATATCCAGGCTTGGGAAGGCAAGTGGCAAGTAACGTTCATGTCACGCAAGTTCTCAGTTATGACGATATTTCCAACAAGAGAGAATCTAACCATTGCCCCCTTGACGTTCAAAGGCATTACCGTAGCTTAATTCCACCACTGTCAACATCCTGGGGGCTACCATTGACCAGAAAATGCCTGGACTAATTTTATAAAAACTCTGGCTTCAAAAGCAGGTCAGAGATTAAGACTCCTGTGGAGTTACCTCCTGACTTCCCAAAGCCTGTCCACCGTTTATAAGGCACATGTCAGGAATGTGATGGAATACTACCCACTTGGCTGGATGAGTGGAGCTTCAACAACTTCCTTTACCTCTAATCAAATTGATTCTGTGTCTTGCTCTTTCCAAGCCTTGTCATTGCTTACTATTGTGCTAATGGCATTCTTAATTCATAGAGCTGCCACATTTTACATGCTTGCTATTTTTGCAAAATGCCAGATTTCTTTCAATATTCAGGTGTCAGCCTTGATAATTCTGCAGTCAGGTCTCTGTAATGACTTACAGCTCATATTTCTAACTATGCTAACAATCCGTGTTGTTGTTAATTCTTTACACTTTCAGAAACAAAGGCTAACTTTTTTTTTTAAACCATCTTTTCAATCTCTAATTTTATCTTCTGATAGAGTGTATAAACTTAACATTTTATCATGTTCTGTCAAACTCTGGTTATAATAACTCAAATTGCGGCCCTATTCTAGAATATCTTTGTTATGCTCTGGTTTGCCAAATATCCACTCACAAGATCCCTTCTGCCAACTACTTGGTTAAAGACTTTTCTATTGCCTTGTGGTAGTGATATGACTTGCCAAAACACTGGTTCCAGCATGGTTTAGATGATGTGTCCCCTAACGGCCCAGGTCCCCCTGACCTGTCTGTGTCTTTGGAACCCACGTGAACCACAATAACCCAATTCTTACCCCTTCCATTCCAGGTTCCTGTCTAGCCCAGAGCAGATGACCTACACCCTTTTTTATTTCTTTATTCATTCATGGGATGAGGGTGTCATTTGGGCATTTGGCCAGGCAGCATTTATTGCCCATCCGGCAGTTAAGAGTCAACCACATTACTTGGGTCTGGAGTCACACGTAGGCCAGACCAGGTAAGGATGGCAGTTTCCTTCCCTAAAGGGCATTAGTGAACCCAGATGGAATTTTCCTGACAATTGGCAATGGATTTACGGTCATCATTAGACTCTTTAATTCCAGATTTTTATTGGATTCAAACCCGGGTCCCCAGAACGTTATCTGGGTCGCTGGATTAACAGTGCAATGATAATACCACTAGGCCATTGCCTCCCTTGGTACCAGACAGACAACACAGTCATCTGGACTCACGTTGTCATCTGCAGAGAACTATAATCCATCTTACTATACTGTACCCTACTACCACAAAATTCCTTCCTGTATCATGGTTCCATATGAACCATGGAAAAAACCTAGATAAAATGACAATAAAAACCAAATAGAAGAAAATGAACAACTGACAGTGATGAGGTTTCCAGATATTCTTGGTGCTGAAAATTCAAGAAGCAGATTGCTCTGTATCTTGGCTATCCCCAGTAAAGTTTTAACTAGCTGGAAGACAGTCTGCAATGGCATATTTTCAGCTGAGAAGTTATGAGAAAAAGTTTAGAGGAATGTTGTATCTAGAAAACAGATAAGGAAAGTTGAGGATGAGAGAGGGCATGGAATTAGACTGGTATTACCTTTATATTTGGTATTTTGAATAAGTTTTTGCTCCTCCTTTGCCCAACTAGCCAGATAACTGCAATAAAAGAGCTGACATTTACCATGCTGGCTGGTGCCAAGTGTCTTTTCATCTGCCTTCCCCCAAAATTCCTTGAGTGGAGTAAGGTTTAAATTTATATTTAATTGTGTGTTGTGGTACTGTACCCGGTTCAATTTGTTATTGTTTTTTATTCCTTTGAACTTTTCTGCAGTCTTAAGAATTGGGGATGTTGCAGTAATAATTTTAAAAGCTTTGCTTCAATTTATTCTTGAGATATGGTGGATGTGGGCATGACAGCACTTACTTTTGAAGCTAGTAGCTCAGAGAATATAATGGCAGGTTACCACCTTGAACTATTATAGCAATGTTTTCAACGGTGTTTGGAATTACAATATACTGCCTTGGTGTCAATGAAGATATAGCAATTTTAGATATGTTGCTGAGAAAGAACTAATTTGGGCAAAGATTTTCTCATTTTTCTTGCACTCATTAGATAAATTTGCAAGAAATACCAAAGTAACTGGTGTTGGTAATTGAGAGGATTGTGCTGACTTTTTGGCAGGTGAACTCTGAATGGTAGATGTGTTGACATGGAGAATACATCAGCTAATGATGACGATAGTTAGCTGCTGTGCTTTCTTTAAATTTTGAATATTGCAGGTTGACTGTTCTCAGGGCAATGCCATTACCAATGAACTGGTGAATTGCTATTACCTATCTTGGTGAGTTAAGAAACATGCTATGCTTATACATATGTTCTTTCTGTGTGCAAAGGCCAAACGTTGTGTATTAATATACATGGCTTCCAATATAAACAAGTGTGCCACATTGCAGGCTGACTGACACTCCTCACACACCGAATTATTTTGCAAATGTTGTCCACTCACAGAATCACACTTAATTTCAGACATTGTGTTATGACTTTGGCAGGAGTAGGCTCTTTCTGTATGGTCATAACTTGTTTCTTGTGAACAGCTGAAGGAATGTGCAGTTCGATATGGTCCACCTGTCTTTGGGACATGCAGCCTATATACCTAGCATAACACCAGCGCTGAAATTCATATACCACATTATTCATTTGTGTGATAGGTAGAACATCTCAGGAATGTGCAAAGAATTTCATTGACAACCAATTTTGAATTGTTAGTCGGTCTCACAGTTTAGAGCATTTGTGTGTACTAGCAGCTGTATGTATTAATATACAAAACCCTGTTCTTTACAGACGAAACAGGAACGGTCTATGTACACATTCTTTTAACTCAACAAAATACTGTGCGCAGATCTGGTCATTAAAATATAATAAGAATGTGACTGCACTAGAGAGAGTGCAGATGAAATATTCCACAAGCCGCCTGGGTCAGAGAATGTGAGCTATGAGGAAAGATTGGTTTGGGAGTAGTGAAGTTTGAGAATGGGAACCTGATACAGGTATGTAAGATTTTGAGGGGGACACAGTTAATGTGGATAGGAAGGCACTTTTTCCATTAATTCATTGGTCAATAACCAAGGAGCACAGATTTTAGGCATTTAAGTTGCATCTAGATATTCACTTAGGAGAACTTGAAAATGGGATTAATGAAGTCAGCCCTTTGTTGACCGGTATGGACGCAGTGTGCTGAATGACCTCCTGCGCTGTAAATGTGACTCTATAAATAGATAACAGCTGTTCTCTGGCTCATTGGTCAAGCATTGTACTTGGTAAACCTTTTTGTTTTAAAGTTGAACAGAGATTGGCACTTAATTGTTGTTCATTATTTGTTTGGGCATTCATCATGTCAGTGCCTTTATTAATCAAAATCCATTTGTCAACCAATCAGGACTCCTCTTGTTCTCCCTTACTTTGGTGTTTCTTGCAATTTGTCCTGATGAGTTCAAGATGAAAAGTTTCAATAAAATCTATTTTTTTCAGCAGTACTGAAGTTCAGTATTACCAAACAATGAATTTAGATATGTTCAGATTGGGATGATGTTGGATTTGGGGTGGAACTTGGAAGTAATTATATTTCCATGACATTTTGAGACTTTATGCTTTTTTTGATAGTGGAGAAAAGGAGGGATCTATTGTTGCAATGAGGTTGATAATTTGCTGCAGTAAATCCTTTAAATAGTATTTGCTGTGAGTATAGTATAATGGTGATGGAAAAATGAATATTAATACAAAAGAATACAGTACAGCATGGGAACAGGCCTTTGGTGCAAGCCTGCATCAATTCCTAGTCCTTATTTTGACACGCTACTGATTGTCTGTCTGTCGTCCGTCCGTCCGTCCGCCTCCCGTTCATGTCTATCAAGGTACTCCTTAAACGTTGCTGGTTTTCCTGCTTCCACCACCTCCACTGGCACTGCATTCCAGGCACCACCCACCCTCTGTCTGGAAACATTTTCCTTGCACTTCTCCAAGTCTATCATCAGGAGTACAAATCAAGTGTTTGTTCTGAACAGGGTAGTATTGAATTGCTTGAGTGTTGTTGCAGCTTCATCTGTCCAGAGACTGGTGATTATTCTATCGTGCTCGTGGGTTGAGCCCTCCAGATACTATAAAGGCTTTGAAAGTTGAAGAGGTACAACATTCATTACAAATTGACAATCCTCGGCCCTTCTGTTATAAGCACATTATTGCTATGGCCAACTCAGTTAAGCTCCTAGTCACCACTGTGATGTTGCTGATAAGGGAGCTAAGCACTGGCTATATGATTTTTGGGCTTTCTTCTGTTTGAGATGGCCATTATTTGAAGTGAATGTGCGACCTGTCAGCTCCAGTGTGGATGTTGACCAAGTCCTGTTATCAGTGAGCAAGGGCTGTTTCATTATCAAAGGAGTTGTGAATGGAGCTTAGCACTGGAATTGTCAGTGAACAGTCACACTTCCGCCTTTACAATTGTGGAAAAATCATTGAACAGTTGGGGATGAGCCAAGGATGTTGCTTTGAATTCCTGTTGTGATATTCTAAGGTGGTAGTGATTGTTTTCTGGCAACCACAATGATCCTGTTTTTGTCAGATGTGGTACAAACTGTCAGTGGGATTTCCTTCAGCACCTGTTGACTTAATTTTTTTTACTCGGCTTTGGTTGAATATAGTTTGATCTGGAGGACAGCTGCCCCAGCTTCTCTGTCATTCAGCTCTGACATCTAATCCTAGAGTTCTGAAGTAAATGGTTCGTTCTGAACTTGGTGTGCGTGTGGAGCAGGTTATTGGTGATTATTATCATTGTATTATTTAGGAGGAGTCTGATAATTGGTGAAGTTAGAATTGTCTTGGGTTTTTTGTGTTCTTGCAGGTCTTCTGCATCACAATCAGGACATTTTTGGATTCCGCAATCTTTGATATTTAAATGACGTAGCAATTGTTGTTAATTAACAAGAATAACCATTAAACGTGCTTGATAATTGAACCTTTATTGGATTTCAGGAACCCATGTAATGATCTTTTCCCTCTGTTTCCTCATTGAATATTCCCATTCCAAGGCAACCTCTTTTCTTTGCTACCACATGACAAAGTCACTTTCAGTCTTATTGTCTCCCACTTTGTCACTTTCCATTCTCCCTGAAGGCCTAAGCTGGAGCATTCTCTTCCTCTTCAGACAATTAATTAGTATTGCAAGATAAGATTGGAAAATGCTCTTTTGGTCCATGTCACTAGCTCCAGTGTTCAAAACTAAGAGTTGATAAGTTGTTTTAGCTGTGAGCACCAGACATGCAACATGATAATCTCATGCCTAAACCCCAACAACCCTCCTTTTAATGTGAGAAAATGCACCCTTTAAGAGTAGTCTAAACACAATGCAACTTTACAAAATGTAAAGTTATTTGCCTGTGCAGGATAAATGGTCTGCACAGTTTGAATCCGATAAGTGCTAATGTTTGACCTATTCAGTACTTTGGGTCTGAATTAGTCTAAGTTTTTGTCCCATTGGCAGGGACTGGGGGAAGATTGATTACTTTTAAAGAAGTACAAAACATTTGAATATTTTTACATTGATCCTAGATAGTAGTACAGAAAGTATATCGACTGCACTTCCTTCTATTTTAATATCCATCAAAAAATATTAAGAAGTAAAAATATTCTTGTGTAGGAGCAGCTTGAAAATTAGCCATTGGGAAGTCTAGGTGCTGAAACAGGTTATCATACTTTGATCTACTGCTAAAACTGATTTCAATATTGGGATCCCACTATAGATTCCAATTCAGTATTAAATTGTTAAGTTCACTCAGGCTGTTAAAATATAGAAGAGGGTAAAAATACAACAAACCAGTAAGGGTAAGCTTGATTAACATTGGAACAGAGGTACATTTTGGGCAGAGTAGAGGATTTACTATGCATGTATTGTTGCAGTGATTAGAATTGTTTGCTGTTGAAATGAGGTTCCTGAAATGGGCATTTCATTTTCTAACACTGTGAGTAAGAACTTTAAATAAAAAAGGTTGCTTAAAATGCTGCTGAATTGCTGCACAATATTGATGCATTGTACTCTGACCTCAAATCTTTTCCTCTCAGTAAAAATTCAGCGTTTGAGTTTTTTCTAAATAAAATCAGTCCAATTCAATTAGCGTTGATTCCACGGTGACTGTCTAAACCTATTTAAATCCATTGCTTAGGAGAGCAGTGGAAGATGCAGTGGAGCCCGAGCTGCAAGGAATAACAGTTTATGTTGCTCAGGACTGTACAGGTGAGTGACACAGTATGGTAATGGAAAAAACTGACTGGGCATCTTGCCCAGTTCTGCCAGGCATATGAAATTGATGATGCCAGGCAATGCTTAACATTACTGAACATAACTCATGTTTGATGCATTAAGTCAGTGCTTCTCTGTTCTACAAGAGAGTAATTTAAAATTTTTTTTAATGCTTTCACTTAAAAATGAAGATCAAGGGGTTTGTGACCACTCATATATTTACTTATGTTTCTACAGTGTCCATTGTTTTGTAAACTAGAACATCCATTTTTCGTTAGTATAAAAGTCAAAAATGAAGGAGCTATTCAGCAGGCCAATCAGCATCAGCTTAGTTGGAACCATACAACTGGAGAGCTTCTTCAAGTTTGTTTGAAACAAAAAGGGGGAATGAGGAAGACTAAATGTAGCAATACATGTAATCAGCTGTACGTTTATAAATTCATGAATAGTATTTACAAATCCGAAACATGGTGCAAGGGCTGTTTGTTTACAAATGCCAACTAACCAGGCATGAAGGGCTTAAGAAAAACAGCAGCCTTGGATTTGAACCTAATCCGCCTGGTAAGAACAAAATGATCTGCCCGGATCCCCAATTTACACCCAGCTCAGTGTTTTGACTTCTTTGGAGCATGTAATCAGATGATGTTTAAATTGGGTTTACTACTTAAACACTTTTGCTGATTAGGGTAGAAAGTGTTTAAAGAGGGTGTGAGTTCTGTTTTTATTTCAATGTCATTAAATTAGCATTGAAATTAATGATAATGTCATTGGACTAGAACTCCAGAACACCAGGCTAAATGTTCTGGGGAAGCAGGTTTGAATCCTACCTTGGCAGATGATGAAAGTTGAGCTGAATAAAAACTAGTCTAATGTTGACCGTACAAGCACCGTCAACTGTCATAAAAGAAAATCTAGTTCACTGATGTCCTTTAGGGAGGGAAACCTGCTGCTGTTATTTGATCTGGCCTACATCTGACTGCAGACCATAACAATGTGATCGATTCTTAACTATCTTCTGGGCAAATAAGGATAGGCGGTAAATGCTGGTCCATCCATTGATGCCCTCACCCATGAACCAGTAAAATAATTTATATTTTACCTGGCTGTTTAAAAGTAATTGGCTTTGCCTTTTCATAATCATTTTAAAAAATGCATTTTTATTCTGTTTTTATTGCTTTTTTGTACTCCTAGAATGACTAGGAATGGAACGTAATATGTCACTCTATATGTTATATGAAACTAATATTTTAAAGTTGTTCATTTTGTAAGATATTTGAATGGTACTGATAGCATTCGTTACAATTCTTCATGTTATAAATTCTTTCTAAAACGTTAAAGATGTTGTTAATACACTATGCCATATGTCTTAAATCCAGGTTCAAATGCATCCGAAAAGGTATAGAAGTCTACCTCTTTTATTGTAAAGTATCTTACATGAAAGAGGTTTGGTGGTGAAGTCTCAACTTGGACCCACAGTATAAAACTAGCTTTTATTTAGCAGTGGTTGACACTAAAATTGGCAATGCCACTTGGGCTACAAGATGGTTAGTGTGACAAAAGGTAAATGTCAAACTCTGAAGAAGGGCTTGAGTGCACAGGGGTAGCCTAGCATACACTTTATTTGGACATAATTTTATGAATTGTACTTGCATTTATTATTTCAAAGCAATAAAACAATTTTTTACAGTCACAGAAATCTGATATTGCCATTTGGTTGTAAAGGAAAAACCCTGAGTCTGAAGTCAGTGACTAAGTAAAATATGTTCCTTTCATTAATGAGACACCTACGTGAAAGGCCGAGAGCCATTGTGAAGGACATGATTGTGATTGTAAAGGCTGAAAAAAAAGTTGTGAAATAAATTTAGGCACTAAGCTTGAGATCTAAAGCTTGAAGTATGTCAGACAAAAAATGATGACAGTTTCAGCATCTAGAGAGAGAATAAATTGGAATAGAAGATGATACTGAATGTTTTGGATTCAATAAATCCAGGGAAAAGGAAGGACAAATTGGAAGATACATTTGGCACTTTGGAAGAACAAAACTATGATTAAAACATTACTATCTTTTTCAGTTTATATTGCTGATGTAATAGAAAAACACTTACAAGTTATTGAATCAGGAGTACCAAAATCATCAGACAAGACGGCTGTTGTTATCCTAATACCAGTGAGACTTGGAGGGGAAAAGGTCAACCTTGAGTACAAAGAGATTGTAAAGGTAATGGTGTTTAATATTACTTCAGCACCTAAGACATTTATTGTGTTTGTAAGTCCTTTTATCACCTTGAATTTGAATTCTTCCACTTTTCAACAAGAGTCACGTAAGATCACCAATGGTGAGGATTTAAAAGGGCAAGTTCACTGTCTGCACTGCTTGATTTTGGTTTAAGATAGAGTGGTGATTGGAACACTGCAATAAACCTTCGAATTCTTGACCAAAGAGGGGTAGCCAACTTCCTGCTGTTCCTCCAGTAACTTCTGCTGAGTAGTGTATGTATCTAATGAAACAAGAATCATCTTGATTGTTGCACCCTCCATGGTTTCATAACTTGTTTGGCAATGACATTAGCTCTCGTGTAAATATACCATAATACCATAATTTCCCATTTGAGTAAGACACTGGAGGATGATTGGTGCTGAACAAAGAGTGCATCAAATTTATCAGCTGATGGATTTGTTAGGTGGATATGGTAAGGGGGCAAATAGCCTACTAGACTACCTTTATTTAGAAGTATACAGATTGATGGAAGTCGACAGTTGGAATACCAATAAATCTAAGCATAATACTTGAACTTGTAATCTTTACACTTTTTGAACTCAGTCTGGTTATTGTAACACATTGTGTCGTTTTATTGAAGCAACTGTATCCAAACCAAGGAATTTTGGGAAAAATTTATAATTGCTGACATGTACAAATGCATGCTCCATTGACCAGATTAGTATCCAGCTATTTCATGGACAACTGTTAAAATTATTTATTGTCAGCAAAGACTTTGGTTTCATTTAATATTTATTTATTAAAAATTGATCTGTTAATCTATAGATTCTGGGTTTCTCTCAAGTTGCAAAGCCATTCCATTAAAATCACATTCAGGCAAAAGCATTCTTCCAGGCCTGCTGGCTGTGAGGCAAATGAGTGAGTTGTATATGGTGGCAGTAGGGCTGACACATTTTCTGAATAATGTAAACAAGGCCCAAAGTTCAGGTTCTGGCTGACCTCAGACCTGCAAGTTTGGACTCATGCTGTCTGCACCTGGTTAGAGTGCAAATTGGATATAATGAATTCCCAGGACATTGATTCCTCGATGGGCAGCAGTTCCATAGTAGAAGGTGATTTCAATATCTCGGGCAGTTGACTGTTGCTTATATGCAACTGTGGTTTAAATGCAAGGTGAATTATAACCAGTTCTGTCCTCCATTTCAATGCACCCACATTTCAACAGATTTTTTAATAAAATTGAGAAAGGCAAACTCCTTAGCTCACTAATTCTAGACAATTTATAATGTAACTTTTCGGCTGAGTTTAACGAAATTAGCAGGCACTAGGAATTGAATCTAGGGCTTTCCATTTTTCGACTCACCTGCTTGATTATCCAGCTGAGCTGTACAAGAGTGAGTTTCTGCTTATTTTGTATTTTCACTGAAATTAGTTGTAACTTTCAAAAGCATTAAAGCACATTGAATGGCCCTATAAAAATGTTGTCCTGCCTTTGTGTTAAAAGCCTCCTGAGCCATACAATAAATTACTTTTCCTTTGGCCTTGAATTTATCCACATGATGAACTTTTATTGTACTTCACTTAACATATGAAAAGTGTGCTAACTAAGCATGCTTAACTTGGACAGGCAGTAAATACCTTGAATATTTCTAGGGTCAAGGCCACTTTGTCATTTAAAAAGTACACTGTTTTTATGTTCATTATAGAGAATTGTCTATAAATGTAAGTCAAGGCTAACAGCTGTTTAACATTTGTGTTTTTGTGGTCAGTGAAAAAAATTTGATTTGAGTATTTATAATCCTTGAGGTGTCTTAAAATTACTACTTAAAACAAATTGAGGCCTCCTAATTTTCATGAACGGTAATTGAATTTTCCACAATGCTAATGACCAGTACGGATCAACAAAATCCCAGATTCCTAAAGTAGCTAGTTTCTGTTAGACTGCTGGTCTTGCTCCCTGGTGTGAAGGAAAACATTAGCCAGAGTTCCGGCTCCTGATGTTATCCAGTTATTGTCACTTGCAGGGTGGGGGGAGACGATCTCTGTATATTTGAATACATACAAATTAGGAGCAAAAATAGGCCATATAGCTCTGTAGAATCAGGGCATGATACTAGTGCCTTCTGCATAACGTGCCAACTATCCAGGAACAGGAATAGTAAATATCAAAGGAAGTACAGTACAGTTCAGTGCAATCCTTCAGCATAACTCAAAATGTAACATCTTTTCCTGGAAAAAAGGCAGAGAAAAGTATATAAAACTGACATTAGAGCTTCTTTAAATATATAATAAAGGAAGTGGGAGGTCAAAGTGAATATAAGACCCCTTAGAAAATGAATCTGGAGAGATAGTTATGGAGAACAAGGAAATGGCAGAGGAGTTAAACAGATATTTTGCAATGGTCTTTTGGTGGGAAGGTACTTTGATCATACCATTAATTCTAAAGAATTCAGGGGACGAATTAAGCATCATCACCATAACTAGAGAAGTATTATTAGTCAAACGAATAGGGCTAGAGGCAGATGAGTCGTTTGGTCCTGATGACTTTCATCCAAGGATCCAAAAGGTGATATTAGATGCATTGGTTGTAATTTTCCAAAAATCCTTGGATTCTGGTGAAGTAGTGGAGGATTTGAAATCTGCCAAAGTGACACCCTTATTCAAAGAGAGAGGGAGATTAAAAAGTGGGTAACTATAGGTCAAAGAGCCTGACATCTATTTTTGAAAAAATTTTGGAATCAATTACTAAGGAAGTAATAACACATTTAGGATATCATAATCAGCAGAAGCATGGCTTCATGAAAGGGAAATGATGTCTTGACTAATTTATTAAAGTTTTTGAGAAAGTCTCAACCAGAGTGAGTAGAGGAAAACCAGGATATATGTTGTATTTGGACTCCAATAAGATGTTCGACAGGTACCTCAGAAAAGGTTAAATCATAAGAGGCTATAGTATTGGAGGTAACATATTAACAGGGACTTAGAATGGGCTAATGGGCAAAAACAGCTGATGGGGATAAGGGGTTCTATTACGGGTTGGCAAACTGTGGGGTTCCACATGAATCAGTGGTGGGACCACAACTGTTTACAATATGTCAATTATTTGGAGGAAGGGAGTGTATGTACTATAGCTAAATTTGCAGACAACTCAATAGATGGAAAGACAAGTTGCAAAGGGGACACAAACAGTTTACAGAGAAATAATAATAGGTTAAGTAAATGGGCAAATAGTTGGCAACTGGAGTGTGATGTGGGGAAATGTCAAATTGTTTACTTTGAAAGGAAGAACAAAAGAACAGAATATTATTTAAATTGAGAAAAGCTGCAGAAACTGCAACATAAAAGGACTTTGGGATTCTTGCAAAGGAAACACAGAAAGCGAGCACAGAGCTGCTTCAGGCAATCAGGAAGTCTAATGGAATATTGGCCCTTATTTTAAAGAGGTTGCAGTATAAGATTCGGGAATTATTATTGCAACTGTGCAAGCTGCTGGTGAGACCACAGCTGGAGTGGTGAGCAGTTTTGGTCCCCTTATTTAAAGAAAGATATTGTTTCGTCGGTGTCAGTTCCAAGAAGATTCGCTAGGTTGATCCCTGTTGTGGAGGGGCTAAACAAGTTGGGACTCTACTCACGAGTTTTGAAGAATGAGAGGTGATTTCATTGAAACACGTAAAATTTTTAAGGTGCTTGACAGAGTAAATGCTGAGAGGATGTTTCCTCTTATGTGACAGTCTAGGACCAGAGGGAATAGTCGCAGAAGAAAGTGGCATTGATTTAAAACTTAATGCACCACAAAAACCGAATACAGTTAGGACAGGTCAAAGAGCTTTTTTGAGAATGAAAACTAACTACAAGTTGTACTCATAATCCAGCAGGCTTGGAATCAGACCTTTGCCAAACCAGAGAATTTGCCAGATTACGGGAGGTCACAAGTCCAAACCACCAGCCTGGGCTTCTGGCTGGTACCATCCCCTCACAATGAGACCAAACCCCAACATTTGGCCTGTCAGTCTGCTCTTTCTGACTGCCTTAGCTATTGATATTCCCGAAGAGGCTGAGGTGTTGGTGCTGAAGAAAAACAACATCATGGACATGCTTCAGCACGCCAACACCTTCTGGTGGAATTCTGAGAGTGGTGGAGGAAAGGATCTAACCAGGACACTTAATTAGTATATCCAGTGTGTAACTAATAGTAAACTGCATCAGTGACTAGCATTTAATCACTTGATAGGAAGTGTTGACTTTTTTAAATGAACTTCAGAATTGCACAGTCGGGAATGCTTGTGGGTGTGTCTTAAACCAGATGTATTCTAGATACCAGATTACAGAGGTTGTCCTACTTAAGAGTGCTAAATAAGCAGGGGTACCACTTGCACTGTAGGTTAAAAGCAGAAGATGCTGGAAATCTGATATAAAAATAGAAAGTCTTGGAGAAACTCAGCAGATCAGCTGGCAGCTGAGGAGAGAGAAGCAGTTAACATTTCAAGTCTGATATGGGTCTATTTCAGATTGCAGCATATAAAGTGACCCCTTTTTTCCAGCACCAGAATATACTGGGCATATAAGTCGAACTTTAACCTCTTGAACTACGAAGTAGCTTTAGTAGTTTGCCTAAATGTTTCGCTCCATGAATACTTGGCTTCTACTGAGAGTCAGGAAATGGAATAGAGAAACCAAAAGGTCTGTGTTGCAAAAAAGATGCACAGAAGTTTGAGACATGCACAGAAGTTTGAGACAAAGAGTAGGTCACATGTGACAAACAGAATGGGTCCTCCAACAAAACTAATGAAGTATGAAGCTGTTGCAGCAAGAAAATTTGGTTTTAGGAATAAACAGGCGCAAGAAGAAGAAAATAATTTATTGTAAGAAAATGTCCAAGACTCATTTTGCCGTTAGAATATTGACCAGCCATTGGCCTGAGCGTTACTCGCTGTATCTAAATGGATTCTTGAAAATAGGCAAAATCGTTATGTCATCACTTGAAATCCAGTGCATTATAATGCGTTTAAGTGGGCTAAATCAAACCCCGACTCGACCAAAAATTTCAGGCCAACAGCTATTTGGTGTGGTCCGTTTAAGGGCAAGGCAGTCATGTGTTGCAGCAGACATATGTCAAAAGACCTTAGTGTCAAAATGACCAATTTTCAGTGATCCATTGTTAAACAACAGCCAAAAGCCTAAGGACCCATTAAGTCACATTGAAAATGGATGAAACACCCAAGAATTTTGATATGTGAAGTGAAAATTTTGAAAACAACTCCAGTGTAAGTGACTGGACATGAGAAGGCAAATTTGCTGTGGCTCTCCGTTCGTGGCTGATTAGTGCAAAGCCATATTGAACATCAGGTTCCCTGCAGGAGTTTTTGTACATGTCCGTGACAATGATTGGATGGAGTAAATTTCAGGATCGATAATGTGTGGATAAGGCATCCAAGGGAATATAGATTATTGGTACAGAGGATATTAAGATCCCATCTAACCAATAAGATCAAGAGGTATCTGCAAGAAATAACGCCCACACTGCATTTACACCACAGGTGTCTAGGGTCTGTATTCATCTTTGGATGTGTGCCTCAACAAGCCATTCAAGGATTAAGTTCCCAATGAATTAAATAGTTGGATGCTTGACAGAGACAAAACTTCACAAAGAGTGGAAATGTGTGTGCTGCACTGCTTAAAGTTGTGTGGACTCATTAACAAATTGTATAATGTTATTACTGCACCAAGTGCCATCAGATAATTCAACATGTGTGGAATATCCAATTGAATGGATGATGAGTAAGATGATTGGTTGGTTGTGGAGGGATGACTCTAGGTAATACAAGTTCCAATTCTGATCCTGAGTGGGATTCTTTCTTTGATGCTATAGCCAAATTGACTCAGAATGATACAGCTTGTTTTACAATTTTTGATTTCATTGAAGGCATTAGAAATAAAAATCAGATGTGAAATGGAATTGCATCAGAAACGAAAGACCATTAATTTCCCAGGTTTAAAGCACTTGATTGTGGTTAAGGAATTTGTGTATAATTAACTAATGCACTAATCCTGTCAGTTAAATTTAATGTGAATTTCAAAATACCATTTCAACATGGTGACCACCCTCCTCCGCATTGGTAGTTTGCATTTTATATTGGTATATAAGTTGACCCTTCTTTTTTAACCATATCCATGATAAAGTGCAATCAGTAGATCTCATATTCAAATTTCAAAAAGATATTCAATAAGGTGTATCCAAAATGGTTAATGCATAAGACGTGGGCTCAAGGAGTTGGGATGGATAGAGGGTTGGTCAACAGATGGGAAATAGAGAGTAGGGCAAGTGGGCTGTTTTCAAGGCTGTAGCTGGTGGATTGTTGCAAGGTTTAGTGGTCGGGTCTCTGCTATTGACAATCCATATTAGTGACTTAAATGAAAAGACTGAGCGTAATATATCTAATTTTGATGACATTGTAAAGCTAGTTGGGAACGCAAACAGTGGAGAGGCCACAGATTCTTCAGAATGATATAAACAGGTTTAGTCCTGAAGAAGGGTCACTGAACCCGAAAAGTTAATTCTGCTTTCTGTCCATAGATGCTGCCAGACTTCCTGTGTTTTTCCAGCAATTTCTGTTTTGTTTCTGATTTCCAGCGTTTTCAGTTTTTTTTTTCAGCAGGTTTATTGATTGGGCACCAAGGTGAAATGTGAGATTATTCACTTTGGTTTTGTGTATGGAAAGCCAGAATATGTTTTAAAGGCATTAAACTTGTAAATGCTCATGTTCGGAGACTACTTGTACAGGGAGTACAAAAGCTTGCATGTATAACGAGTATTTGGGAAATGAAATACCTTGTTTGCCTTCATAGTGAGGGAATTAGAGTACAAGAATAAAGACATCTTGCTACAATTGTATGGAGCTTTCGTGAGCCCACATCTAGAATACTGTGTGAACTTGTAATGAAGAAAGTGCTCACATTAGAGACAGTACGTCAAAAGGTTCGCTAGAGTGGTCCCGCAGGTGAGGGTTGTCACATGAGTAAGACTGAGTACGTTGTTTCTATATTCTTTGTAGTTTAGAAGAATGAGCGGTAATCTCATTGTAATATGATCAAGATTATGATGGACTTATCAAGACAGACGCTGAGTTTGTTTCCCTTGCTCCAAGGGTCGATGTGAACTTGTTGGGCTGAAGGGCCTGTTTCTACACTGTAGGGATTCTATAATTCTATGATTCAGACTGAGGAATGTAGAACATCGGGACACAGTTTCAGAATAGGGACCTAAGTTAAGGGGACTGAGATGAGGAGAAATCCCTACACAGAGTTTTTAGCAGTGTGGAGCAGACCCTTCAGCCCATCCTGTCTGCATCAGTCATTAAACATCCATTTGTTTTAATCCCATTTTTCAGCACTTGATCCAGAGCCCAGCAATTCTTCACTTGACTTGGGATTCCAGAGGGTTGTGGATATACCACTGAAGCTGTGAGAGATTTTTGGTGTCTCTGGGACTTGAGATATGGGGAACGGGTGGGAAAGTGAAGTTGAAGCTGAAGATGAGCTGAGATCATATTGAATGATGGAACAGGCTCAACAGACCATGTGGTCTTCCTTTGCTCCTATTACTTATGTCCTTAAGCCAACATCATCCAGCAAGAGAGGGAATTTGGATCGGGGGAAGCCTTGTTTTAATATTTCTTTACGAACTATTGTCATCTTGGGCAATGAACCAGCAGTGGCTACTTGATCTATTCCCATATCTTCACTAGAATCACCTGTTGGAATTTCATGACAGCAGCCTGCACTTTACAACAAGAGTCCCTTTTTTCAGTAATAGAAACAGGACACCGAAAAATATTGTGTTCACCCTCATTTAGGGTGGTATTTGATTAGCAGAGGAACTCGGAAGTTGGGTATTTTCTTTATTGTGGGAAATAGTCTGATTTGTTGGTTCCTTCCTATGAGTGTTGGCTGAGGTAGCCTTCAAAGGTGATGGAGATAATTTGTTTGTGTTATAGAGTAAGCTAGGTAACAGCAAATCAATAGCCTTTCTTGCATATTCTGATTCAATTCAAGGCAATGGAGATAAAAATCAGGAGAGATGTGTAACAGGCTGCTGCTGATCCGTTATCACCTTTGTTACGTTATATAGACAACATTACACAAAGACTGTTCTATTTCACCAAATGAAAGCTTGCATTTTTACTAGTTCGAAAGATCTGCAGATTGATTAGGTGGGAAATTAGCGTCGGCTTGAAAACAGAACTGTCTTTCACCTTTTTCCTGATTTAGGAAAAATAATGTGATCTATCTGCCATGCGTTGGAAAAAGCATAACATATCCTTGCAAATATTCACTTTTTTTTGAATAGGGGATCTTGAGTCTTGAGTTCTGCGTTGGAATTATTGGTGGAAAGCCAAAACAATCTTTCTATTTTGTGGGATTTCAAGGTTTGTGAATTTTGAATACTGTGAAATGTTTTTTTGCAAATACTCAACAAAGTAACTGTAGATTTCCCCTTTCTGTTGTGACAGTGTATTTGAATAATGTGATATATTAGGATGTTGTCAGTGGTTGTACTATGTTTGGGTTTTGTTATTACAAAGAATTTCAATTACTCTACGTGCTTTTGCATAAGTTCTTGTTTCCCAGTTCTAATGTTTTAAATGAACATAGTGACAACATTGAGATTTTTACCGCTTAAAATAGCAATGTTTACCTCATGAGTCTGTCTTTGCTTCAGTGCTGTAAGTGCAGAGGTGCTAACTGTTGTCATGAAGGAATGAGAAGGTAGAATGTCTAAATATAACTTCTTGCATAATGTATCATGCAATAAAGGCCACTTTTTGTAATATATTTTGATATGAATTGTATTATTTGTATTACGCAAAAATTGAATGAAATATGATTTAATAATTTTGCAGTGGCTCTAAGAACTTAATAAAGCAGAGTTAATTTCAATCTACAAAGTATTAAGACAAATAATTACAGATTTAAAGAAACTGAAGAAAAGACCAGTGTTATTGCCTATTAGGTTGTAAATGAGTTTATTCATGAAGAGTGTATTCTTATTCCAGAGCCCACTGACAACCATACGTCTAGCAGTATCTTTATTTTTAAGATTGAGAAATGTGTTAAATGTTAATCTGACTTGTCCACAACCATGTTAATTCTAAATTTTTTGGCTTGAATTTTTGAAAAATGGTTTTTGAATTAATTGACTTTTTTTTTTCCATTTTGACCTCCAAAATGTATGGTGGGAACATTGATACAGAAAGGGAAGAAATAAACGACTTTAAATAGTTAATAAATATTAGTCAAGAACCTAGTGAAATTAAAGTTTTATTTTAAAATGGTGAATGGAAACCGTGTGAAACAAAGTTGTTGGCTGCATGCACAAATAGCATATGTTGTTTTAATTTTTTTATCTTTTTTGAGAGTTAATTTTTGTTGTCCTTGATTATAATCTGTTTCTTCCCAAATGATTGGCACTGTCTTTCAATTTTTTCCCCAGTAATTTGTTTAATGATTGTAGTTACTCAACCTATTTCTTCACACCCAGGGAAAATTGGCCTTCTCCAATTGCGAACTTTTACGCCTGATTTATTTTTGTCCTATTTTGTAGCCATGTGAAATCTATCTGATTGCTACCACTAAATTATTGCCCCAGCATTATCCCTACAACCTGCTCAGCTAAGTCCATAACTTCTCGTTTTCTTAATGGGCTTGCTGTGTTGCGGTTCCAAATGTTATTCTTTATGCATTTTGACCATCCTACACCTTTGCCTTTAATACTGATTCAATCCTAGATAATATTAGAGCATTTGAGCCCACCTACAATCACTGCTGTATCATTCATGTATCTTTTTAAAAAGCTGCCAATGTATATGCTCTTTTTTTCTCCCCCCCTCTGACCATTTGGAAGTCTATAGTACACTCCAAGAAGTGTGATTGTCCCTTTTTTGTTCTTTAGTTCAGCTTATGGACTTGTTGATGATTTTTTAGCTTATCATCACCTTCACAGTTGTAATTGTTCCTTTGATCAATATTGCAACCCATTTCTTTTTTATCCATCTGTTGGTCTCATCTCAAAATTATTTAAGAAGGAAGATTGAGCTGATGTACTTGCGCTTCTTTAAGCCATGTTTCAGTAAGAGCAATGATATGTTCCTTTTGAATATGAAAATGTGCCTTTAGCTAATCTGCCTTGTTTGCTAGAATTCCTGATTTGAAATCTATACCATTAGGCAATAGTAAATCTATTTGTCTGTATTGTAGTCTGTATCCTCTGCCTTCTGCAATCGGTCACTAATTTTCGGCTTTGCTTTTCCAACTTTCCTCATTTCTGTTCTGTTCTTGTATTCGGGTAATTTAATTGAGTGGTGGGTTAGACTGGAGGGGCTGAATGGCCTGCATCAGTTCATATTTTCTCTGAATGCTGTTGCTTTACCCCTTGAATTACAGATTAAATAATTGGATGTTGGATATCAATTTAAATTGAATTCATAAAATGCCACCAAGCTGTTTGCACAACCAGTCTTTTGTTGGTGCTCATCCTTCACATGAACAAATCCAAATCCCATGATCTTTTCTTGTTGCAGTATCATTTTCTTTCAGCCACGTATCTAACCTATTTTAAATGTTGACATAATCTCAATTTCAATCACAAACATTGATAACATTTCATAGCATAGTTTCTTTCTGCATAAAAATAAATTTCTCCTTTTTATCCTAAATCCTTTCTATTTAATTTTGTACCCATGTCTGCTCATTCCAGCTGCCACCCCCTCAATATAAACATCATGTTTCTATCAATTCTGCCATATCGTTTCACAATATTAAATACATCTATTAAAACATGATCTAACCACCTCTGTTCTAATGTGAATGGTCTCAGTTTTTCCTAAGTCTTTGTTTGTGTTTGAATTTTATCAGACCAGGCAGCTTTCTGGTGAATATTGTATTTTTTTGTTGTCCTAAAGTCCTTCTTTAAGCTTGAAGCTTAAAACTGCACTCAGTAGTCCAACTATAGTCTTAAGTTTTTATATAAATTCGCTATTACATTTCAGTTTTTGTATTCTATACCCCTGCTATAAAACTCAGTATTCCATTAGCTTTTTATAGCTTTATCACTTTAGTTGCAGCTTTTAATCTCTTGTGAACCTAACTCCCTGTGCCACACTGCCACAAATCCTCTCCTCTTTCACATTCAAAGTATAATTATTTTACTTCTTTAACAAAATTTTTTAAATTTGCATTTATTGGCATTAAATTCCATCTGCCATGTCTTTTGCACATTCTGTCATCTTTGAAACTTCCTTTGCTCCTCAGAATTATTTACTATGCCTCTAATTTTGCAGTTGTTCAGAAAGTTTTACATCAATACAGGAGCATCTCCAAACTGCTTGGACCACTTGTGACAGTGACCAGCATTGTAATGCCTAAGAAAATGTCTAAAGCAGGATTCTAAACTTGTAACATGTGAACTGTTGCCTCCACTGCTTTACATGAGTTGCTATTGTCTACATGTTAGTCAACTAAGACAGAACCTATTCTTTCTTGATATTTTCCATGCGAGCTTTTCACCATGAGTCGCTAGATAATAGCTGACTTCCTTTTTGTTCCATAGGCTAGAGATCATTAAGACCAGTTGCCTCGAGGTCGAACTTCAGCTCAGTTATATACAGTTCTTTTAATGACATTATTTATAAAAAAATTCTTAAATAAAATTGAAAGTGCATGTAAAAACTTTGCTAGGGCAGTGTAATTTGATAACTCAAAATGCAATCTTACTTGAAAATAGAATTCAAACCGCAAACTATATTGGTGATATGATGTGGTGGGGATTATTTTATTTATTTCACAAACTATAGTGATAAGTTTGGAAGATGTCTCATTATGTATTTTTGAATTTCTTGTCTTTTGTTTGGTCCTTCAAGATGACAGTTTGATTTACATGGATCCTCATTACTGCCAGTCATTTGTGGATGTCACAACGAAGGATTTCCCGCTTGAGGTGAAGTTTTGTATATTGTGTGAAAAGCTGACATTATTTTTGTCCTTTTTGATTTGATTGAAATTTTTTAACAAAAGTACATTCTGTTCTAAAATAAATAAAACAATTCCATCTTAGTTGAAATTAGAACAAAGGTTGGAACTTTCCAGAGGGGATAAATGTCAGGACCAAGTGTGGATCCTGACTTTGGCAGGCAGCGGGGTCATGTTGGTAATCTTTTAACTTGCTATGGTTCTAGCCCAATATGGAGGGTTGACAGCTCTGCAGACTTAACCAAATAGGTGGATGCTGTTGAGGTGCAGGAGGAATAAGAGGACACCTCCATTTTGAAGCAAATGGGGAAAGGAGACAGTTCGCTTTACTGCCAGGGCCAGACAGGTAGGCCTGGTCATCAGAAGGGTAACCTTTCCAGTGACTGCATGGGGTCACAGGAGCAGCACTGTTGTTGCTGTGGTCCCCTATGTTGGGCTTTGGAGCCTCCCCAAAGTCACTGGAACATTTGGCAAAATGCCTGTCAGTAAGACCTTTAATTATTTGAATTGGCTGCTAAGCCTCCATTCAGCAATTGGACAACTTACTCAATGGCTGATTAAAATCTTGTCTCACCAATAATGTACATGAGATGCTTTTTGCAATTCTTTCTAAACTTGATAAGGAATTTTTTACTGTCATGATAGTCAAATGGAATGCACTTCATTTTCAGGCTCTTCCGTATATGGTACAGTGCAAGTTAGATGGAAATTAAAACATCCTCTGTAAACTCTTGACTTCACAAGCATCCTATTCTACCAGTGTGTGATTTCCATTTAGCACTGTGGCCATTGCATCCTTCCTGAATGACAGCAATGCTAAATAACATACAGTTCAATATATACAGCACACATTGATCAGGAGCTGGCTTGAAACCAGCTAAAGCTGTTTTTCTGTCTGGTTTTTACTGTGGGGGGGGAAAAAAGAACAGAGCCTTTCATCTGACTTGCCTTCTTATCCTAGAGTATAAACCCAATAGTGTCCAATTTACTGAATCCTTTTTATTAATAACACTGCCCTGCGTAAGTTTTTTTTTTTTACATTGTGTTCTACTCAAAGTCCGTTATAGAATGGAACAAAAACGGAGGTTGCTGGAAAAGCTCAGCCGGTCTGGCAGCATCTGTGAAGAAAAAATCAGAGTTAACGTTTCGGGTCCAGTGACCCTTCCTCAAAACTGATGGTAGCTGGGAAAACATCGGTTTATATGCAGAAAATAGGGGGATGGGGTAGGGAGTAAAGGATAGGATAGAGTCTGAAGAGAGAGAAGAGCAGTTGGATAGACAAAGGAGTTGATAATGATCTGGCTAGGAGGGTGAAAAGTTGTTAATGGGGACTGTTAGTGACTAACAATAGGTAGGGTGTGATGGCAGCCTATGTGATAACGAGGCCTGGTGTGTGGGGTAGGGGGCTAGGATATCGGAGAGTTTAGGCCCTAAAATTATTGAACTCGGTATTGAGTCCAGAGGACTGCAGGGTCCCCAAGCGGAAAATGAGGTATTGTTCTTTGCTGGAACACTGCAACAAACCAGAGACAGAGATGTTGGCCAGGGAACGGGGTGGTGTGTCAAAGTTGCAGGCAACAAGTAGCTCACGGTCTTTTTTTGCGAGCAGGACGTAGAGGATTTGCGAAGCGGTCACCCAGTCTACGCTTAGTTTCCCCAATGTAGAGGAGACCACATTGTGAGCAGCGGATGCAGTAGACTAGATCCTGGGAAGTGCAGGTAAAGTGTTGCTTCACCTGGAAGGTATGTTTGGGCCCTTGGATAGTGGGGAGGGAGGAGGTAGATGGGCAGGTATTGCACCTTCGCTGGTTGCACGGGAAGGTGCTGTGGGGAGTGTTGGGGGTGAAGGAAGAGTGGACCAGGGTGTAACACAGGAAACGGTCCCTGCGGAAGGCAGACAAGGGAGGAGAGGGGAATATGTGTCTGGTGGTGGCATCTTGCTGTAGGTGGTGGAAATGGTGTCTGATGATCTTTTGGATGTGCATTTTGGTGGGATGGTAGGTAAGGATAAGGGGAACCCTATCCTGTTGCAGGACGGAAGAGAAGGGGCGAGGGTGGAAATGCAGGAGATGGGTCGGACCCAGTTGAAGACCTTGTTGACAACGGTGTTGGGGAATCCTTGGTTGAGGAAGAAGGTGGACATTTCGGCGGCTCCCTTGTCAAAGTTACCCTCATTGAATATGTGCGACGGAGATGGAGGAACTGGGAGATGGAATGGAGTATTTACAGGAAGCAGGGTGTGAGGATGTGTAGCCCAGGTAGCTGTGGGAGTCAATGGGTTTATAGTGGATTTAGTGTCTATCCCCAGAAATGGAAACATAGATGTTGAGGAATGGGAGGGAGGAGTGAGATATAGACCAGGTGAAAGTGAGGGCAGCGTGGAAATTGGAAGCGAAATCAATTAACTTTTCCAATTCCGGACGAGAGAGGGAAACAGCACTGAAGATATCATCAATATAGGGGAGAAAGAGTTGTGGGTGGGGGTTGGAATAGGACTGGAATAAGGAATGTTCCACGTACCCCACAAAGAGGCAGGCATAACTGGGGCCCATGCGGGTACACATGGCCACCCCTCTGACCTGAAGAATGTGTATTGCAATGTGTGTGTTATGAAGTGCATTTCCTGTAGAAAAATGCTTATCATGCAAAGAAAGGTGATGTTACATGCAATGATATCAAACTGATCAATGTTAGTCTTAGAGTGCCTTTGGCTGGATGGCCTCTTTCTGTGCTATGATATTTTTTGTTCACGGTTCTGTGGTTCAGACGATTTGGTTACATTAATAGTGCTGTATAAATATATTATTCTTGAATCAGTGGAACTGATTTTCTGATCGACTCATTTTGTTACTTTGTACTTTCAGTCATATCACTGTCCTTCTCCGAAAAAGATGTCATTTAGTAAGATGGATCCCAGCTGCACAATAGGGTTTTACTCACACAGTGAAGCTGATCTTGAAAAAATAATTGATGAAGTAACAAAGGTGAGGCTTAAGAATTGTTAATGAAATTAGCTGAAATATTCCTCTGGTGTTTTTTTTACAAATATATAAAAAATGTTATTAAACTTGAAGTAAAGATCTCCACTGGTACCTTAATGGAGAAATAAATACTTGATGTGGTACTGAGTCATACAGACCTGCAAAAAAGACTTGTTTCAATGGAGTTGGCTTCTGTCATCAGGAGTAGACCATTTTCCAGAACTTCCACATCTCTGTGATGGAGAGAAGAAAAAGACTCCAAATTTTCATGCCAAACTAGTATAGTCTGGTGACAGTTTGTTATTTCACTAAACAATCTTTGGCTTTTCTGAGCGATGCAGCTAATTGAGTGCCGGTTAATTTTTGTAGTTAGCCAGTTGGCTAGGTGGCTGATTTGTGGTGTGGAGTGCTGCCAACAGCATGGGTTCACTTCCTGCATTGGCTGAGTGAAGGATTCTTCTTAATCTCTCCCTTCACTTGAGGCATGGTGATGTTGGAGTTAAATCACTGCCAGTTTTCTCTCTCTCTCTCAATAGAGAGCAGTCCTATGGTCTGGTAGGACTCTGGCACCTTTACCTTTCATTTGTTGGGCTTGTACCCATTAGCTTCATATTTCACACAATTATTTAGGAATTATACAGCCACCAGGTTGCTGAAAGCGTCATCCCTGAATCTAGTGGAGGAATTGTCTTTAAATCTATAAAAAGGTTTGCAAGCCCGTTGTGCTACTACTACATTTTTAATACATTTGTGTTTTGGTTTTAGCACTCTTTAATATTAAACAAAATTCCAATACCAAATTCAAGTCAATTCAGCACATCAGCCAAAATGTGGTAAGTTGGACCGCTGTTGTTCAGCCTTTGTTGAGTGTTGAGGGGTGGAGGGAATCAGGCAATTTGTAGGACCGTACTTCTCAAATGCATCTTGTTTATTTGTAGTTTAGTATCAGCAGCACAATGAAAAGACATTGACAAGTTATCCTTTCAGTTGAAAGTTGGGGGCAAAAGGTGATGAGTTGAAATCTTCATGGTTGTATTTAAATTTCATAAGAATTCTTTTGAAAAGAGAACCGAGAAGCCAGCGAAATAGTTCTCTGCTTGAATACCCTCTTAGCTTCCCACTATGCCCCCCTGTTCTTTCCCTCTCTCGAAGCTTGAATAATTACTTCTTGAATTAATATTATTCGCTTCGAGAGCTGTTTCTGATTTATTGTACATGGGCAATGTAGCCTTATTGGTGAAGAAGTTCTGCCTCATTTCCCTTTATCATAACTTACCTGTTCATAACTTGGATCCCTTGGTATTTAAATCCTTAAGCACAATGAGTTGACTGGGCCAACTTTGTCAATTCACTTTACAATATTAAACTTTAATCACTGCACTTCTTCAGGTATTATATTTTTGAATCCAATAGTTGTTGCTGTTCTCTCCAACTTACGCTTTTTGAAGGCAGTCTGTTGTAACTGTGTAATATTCCAAAACGTATCTCTGTCAATGAATAGCCTAGGGTTGAAGTAACCATTTTTATTAATGCTGTTAATTTGGCTTTGCAGCATTTTTCAAATGGCTGTCCCATATTGTCACCAGCAGGTGGCAATATTGAAAGTAAAATAAATTGAGGTTTGGCAGATCACCTACAGTACATTATCACTCTGACTTAAATGAGGCTTTACACTGTGTAGTTCTGATTAATTTGTGACACAAATGAAATAATTTAAGTTAGTTTGAATGGGGGAAAAAAGATTATATTAATGAATGTGAAAATCTGCTTAACTGTACAGAAATTTAATTTATTCTCAAGTTCCTATTCTGGATAAAAAATAGATTTGGCTATGGTAAATGTAAAAACTATTGATTTAACAGATACAGTAGTTCAAATATGGTCAGAATATTAGCAAATTGTTGCTCAGCTGCTTTCTGCAATGTATCTTATGTAATTCTTTGTGCTGTTTTGGCTTTATTCTAACTGGTCATGCTGTACAAATCAATCACAATCTTATAATATGAAAAATAGAAATGCTGCCTTTACATCCACCTTATATTTCAATAAAGAGCCGTATTTGGCAGAATGTAAAATTGATGTTGAAGCTTATCCTGTTTTAAGTTTGGTGAATTAAATTAAAATGTCGCCAAAACTCCCTTTCAAAACGGGACATCAAGCCCTCCATAAAAAGTCACTTGGCTCACTTATTCCCTCCAGTTATTAACTCATCTTTAAATTTTCTTCTATTTTTAAGATCCTTGAATCCCTCATGGCTGCCTTTTCCATCCCTCTTGTAACTTGAGAACATTACTTTTTAGCATCAGATACTCCTAGTATTTGAAAAATATGGGGCTCCTTTTCATAATGTAGCCCTCCTTTGATGTATTGTTACCATCCACAGTTGTTTTGCTCCAGTTATTGTGCAGATGTGACAGTACAGTAATATTTCACAGCACAAAAGTGCCAAATAGGCATTGTAATATTGAAAATTTCACTAGAAATTTAGTTTGCTGTCAGCAGGGAGATAACCTGAAAAAGGTGGCCTTACAATCAGTAAAGTACATCGAATGCTCAGACCAGTGGTTTATTAATTGAGATCCGGAAATACTCAGGTGACCTTTTGATATGTGACATCAAAGAGGAGCAGTGACTGCCAACTTTCTTCAATCACTTGTCGTTTCATCAGAGGTCAATGAACAACACTGTGCACCTGAATACATATGTATGAAATGTATGAATATCTTCTGCCAATGAGCAGTGAGCAGATGTAACCCAACCGTCTGCTTGCAATATTGTTAAACTACAAGCATTGGCGAACACAGTGGCTTAGTTTGTAGTGACAATACCTGGTGTGATAGACAGCCCAGGAAGTTCCCAGGTTTGGCCACTGCTAAATTGAGTAATTTGAGTTTGGTCAGTGGTAAGGTGTTACAGTTGGCTTTGTGCAGATAGGGAAATATTAGCTAAGTTTTCCGCTCTGAAACATTAACTCAAAACTGCTATTCTAAATTACAATCTGAATTCTGAAAAGTTAATGTGTATATAACTGGAGCCAGAACTTTTAATGATGTTGGTTGTCATTTCATTAGTATCAAAAATAGTATAGGAGTCTGCATGGATGATGTTGAACCCTGAACAGCAGGTTACTGGAAGTGGCCAATTTAAAAGACCGGTACTGCTCACCAGAGCTGCTGACTCAAGAACCATTGATAGAGTTGATAGCTGCTGAGGCTGTGGGAAGAAGGCACAGTACTTTTTCTAATTTAATATGTCAGGGCCAGGATGGTGAATCCCTCCCACTCCAAGTAATCCTCGTTCTTGTACCTCTACCATGACTGTTACTATTGAAGCATGATCTCAGATAGGTAGTATTAGCAGGCTGCAAGGCCAGATCTGATTCCTTGCATACCCACTTAAACTTTATCAGGAACCACAGTAATGGCCATTGTTGTCAGAGGGTGCTCCGTTGTCCATTGCCTTTAAAGATGGCCATGCTCTTCCAATGGAATCTGTTAGGGAGCTGCCAGGACTTGTTTAGCATCGTCCCATGTATGGAGATGGTCGTGACACCAGTTAAATAGTTGCAGGGTCATGTTTGTCTGTTAATTGGTTGCAGGCCTCTGGTTAGTGGATGACCATGTCACTACCATTCTTATAAGGCCTTCTACTTCCATTTTATCACCCATACTGCTTCCTAGCATGTCTTCAAAGAGCTGTTAAAATCCAGCCAACAGTGTGCAAAGGCTAGATTTGGCTACTGTAACCTAGCGATACTCACTAAGGAAAGTCCTGCTTGGACAATGATAGTTTTCATAGAGGTATCAGAATACAGCTGTTTTGGAGGTGGATGGAATGTCAAAGTGAGAAGTTTAAAAAAATCAATTTGTAGAAATGAAATGTGATTTGAAAACATAAAAAAACAAATTCTGAAAAGTTTTTAAATTTAAATTTCAGGTTCTGAATTCACCGTCTTCCAAGGAGAAGTACCCATTGTTTACTTTTTCAAGTGGACATGCTAGAGATTTTGATATTGATAAACTTTGCATGCCAAAAACTGATTCGGCTGCACAACTCTCGGAGATTCCAAGGCGAAAAGCAGAGAAATTGAGTAATGAGGAGTTTGTCTTGCTGTAACGGGAATTTCATGGTAAATAAAGTGGGACTACCCTGTCAGTGCTGGCATCTGCTGTGGGTACCCATTAATACTGATGTACAAATAATTTCTAATTATACAACTAGATGCTGTTCAATTAAAACTATTTTGCAAAAGTACAGATATTTTACTGTATATAAAAATGTAATCTTAACTGATGTTAGTTTCTGATTATGTATAATAATGAAAATAAAATTTTTAATTGATTATAAATAAATTTATATAACTATTGAGTTTATTTTCCCACTTGAATATTTTTTCTTCCACAGTTTTCATATATCTTTGTTTCACCTGAGTCTCAATCTACATGATAGCTACTGGAGATCAGCAGGAAGAATGATCAGAGATCACGACAGTGGGACTGATAACTGAACCAGTAATTGAGCATTAGCCAAAATATTTCTCTGCCATCCTATGCCACCCTTTACATAATTTTTTTCAAAGCCAACCCTGCTATCTCATTGTGGCCTCTCTGTACCCGAGGTCTCTGTACCTCTGTAAAATGTGACCTCTGACCTCTTCCTCTCCTTAATTCCATTGCACTCACAATGGGAATAAAATATTTCTTAACTCCTTCAGGAATTCAATTCATCCAAAATGCAGCTTTTTATTCTGCTCTCTGCTAGGTGCAAATTGCATTTAACTGGGCCTTGTTGACCTGTTCTGGTTCCCTGTCCCCAGTTGAAAATTCTATATCTCATTTCTGCTTTTGGGTTGATGGCTTTCCCTATGGGTAAACTAAAAGACACAGCCCTTGGAATCCTTATTAATGACTATAAGTATATTAAAAGGGAGTGATGGTAGTTGATCATTTTCACTGGACTAGTAATCCAAAGGCCTAGGATAATGCTGTGGGACAAAGATTCAAATCCTGCCATTGGAATTGATTTTCAGTTCAATTAATAAATTTTACATTGAAAGCCAGTCTCGGGAACCATAATTGATTATCATAAAAACCCATCTGGTTCATTAATATCATTTAGGAAAAGAAAGCTGCCATTTATACCTAGTCTGACCTACATGTGACTTCTGAACTACAGCAATTTAGTTGACTCTTAAATTCTGTATGATGTGAGCTAGTACTCAGTTCACAGGCAATTTAGGGATGGTCAACAAATGCTGGCTTTGCCATGTCAACCATATTCTATGAAAGAATAAACAAAAAATTAAGGCATACAGAATTTATTCATGGGACTTATGGTTAATTTGAAAAATCAAAGATGTAAAAATAACAGTTGGTTGGTGTGATTCATTTCTGATTAAAAGCTGTACCAAACGTTTTAAAGTTTTTGATCGGTCAGGTTTGCATTTATTTAAAATTAGCATCTAATAGAAGCTGAACATGGGACCTAATTCAGAGAACTTCAGCCTATACATTTCAAGGAGGACGTCACATTCTTGATGTGGGAATTATTTTAATAAATTTTTTTTTTGAACATTGGAAAGAGATTGACGAGACATTTGTCAAAAGGATATTGATGGATTTATAGTAAACGATTGTGGAAGATAATGTATGTGTCCAGTCATTTTGTTTTAGAGGAGGGGGTGGTAATTAATTTTGTGTTTATCTGGTCAATGTTGTTAGCAATAGAGCAATTTTCATTTCAGGGACCAGTGTCATCACCAAATGCTTTCAGGGAACTTGAAGCATGGTTTGGAGGTAAAGTTTTCACAACATGACCTTACTGTGCAGTCCTAAATGAAGTGTAGCATTAATTAGATGCAGGATAAAGCTTCCTCTATACTGCTCATTAAAAATATTCAGGTCAGGCACAGGAATATTTCATCTTTTCAGTTTTCCATTGTATTTCCTTTCTTGTATCTTTGTAATATAAAAGTTCTATTCAAAGTGATGGGAATACTCAGCAGGTCAGACAATGTGAGAGAGAAAATGCATCTTTTTTTCTCATGAACCTGCTGAATATTTCCATTATTTTCTGTTTTTATTTCAGATTTCTGGAATATGTCGCATGTTGCTTTTGCCAAATTCTAGTTTATATTAAGCTATAGTGTCAAAGCAACAATGACCTTCAATATCTCTCGTGTGATCAATCTTCTAATGTGAGACAGGAGAGTAAAAGCCCCAGACTATTTAACTGACCGTGTATTGAGTGTCCGTATGGTGGAGGGAGATCATAATCCAATCCTATCCACATCCAATGTCCATGCAGGCACACGTTTCACAAGGGGCTCAGGATTGTATTCATCAGTGGGAATGTTAGCTGAATTTTCCCCTTTCAAGAGCAAAGATCCTGAGATTATGGCTTTGGCACTAGCTGGTCCTAACAAATTCAACATAGGCCAAGTGTTGAATCTGGAACCTTCAAATTCCATGTAATTAAAAATCTCAGCCAACAAATATAAGAACATTAGTTTATCTTAAACAGATTTTTAAAACCTGTTTAAAGAGAGCAGACACAAAAGTTGAACCTGAGAAATACAAAAATGCTATCAACTTATGGTTGTACACTGAGTACTTAAACCACAGGAAACAGCCCACATGTAAAATCTGTTTTTATGACTGTTCTATTGGCAACGTAAGCAATGGTTTGTTGTCATGCTAAATACAAATTCTTGTTATAGGTTGGTGCCTGGCTTTCTTCATCTGTATTTGAGAACCCATTGAATTGATGGTAAACAAGGGAACAGAAGGAGAATTCATTGAGAGTTTCTTGGTTACAGATTAAAAATGGTTGGTATGTTGCAATGAAAGAATAATTTTTAATTTAATTGTGTGACCAAGAACATTTTGCAATCGGTCAGACGGGTTCACTTATGTCCTTTTTGAAAATGGCGTGGAGAGTTACATACATTATAAATTCAAAAACATGACCACATGTTCTGAGGATTTTTTTGTTGCAGTTTTTACATGAAAGGATGCTTGTACTGGGATGCTTTTCTCTGAGGGGATACACTGTTCAGTGTGTATTTACAGAGAGGTATGAATATTTGATTAAATGAGTCATGGTCTCTGGAGAAATTTAATAACTGTGGCATACACAGCACGCTCCTTTCACTGTTAACACAGCTGCCAATAATGTCAGTGACATTCAGACCTTCCAAATCTAATATATTCTGTGGAGTAAATTCCTGGTTACAAAGAGATTTATAAAGTGACACTATTCAGATATAAGTTTTGAACTATTATCAGACCAATTTACTGTGTCTAATTTGTAAAGATTTTTTTTCCCTGCGGAAATGAGCAACCATGGGAAAGAGACAGAAGCTTACACACTAAGCACATGACATTTAGAGACATATAACTTCAGTCATTATGTCTACAAGAAGCTAATGGTAGAAAAATAACATTAAAGTACAAACAAAGCCATAGAAACTATTTTTAAGTTTGATGTTCATAGATAAACAGGTTGTTTTTTTTTAACGTAATTTTGTTCTCCCTGTTCAGTTTCCGCCAAAGCTTCTTTGCCCAAAGTGACCACATCTCATGAATGAATCAAAATGATTACTGCTGGCCAGCTATTACTTCACTGGGGAGGGATAATCACAGCCAAACCTTATCCTATCCTCAACTTGAATCTATACACATGTACCTTCCAGGAGGAATCACTGGATGGTGAAGATTAAATTGGAATTTAAAGAGTACTCCACCTACTTAAACTTTATCCTGAAACTGTTAAGATTATCTTTCTTCCCAGAGTGCACTTTTTTTTTTTTAGTGTTGGAAGTTTTAAAACTCCAAAAAGAAAGGGAGAAATATAAAGTCATAGCAGGTCAATTAAAAAAGGCTGGTTAT